GACATGTCCACTCCAGCTTCCGCCAGTGTCTGCCGTATCCACCTACTTATGCTCTGTGTGGAGACAGTCTCATGAGGCTTTTTCGTGGTCAAAAATAAAAATTCTTGTACAGGTTTCCTCAAAGCTGCTGTCCGTTCGATGTAATGCAAGAGTGCGGAAGCGGCGCATAGTTTGGGATTATCCGGAAAATAGGGTAGATGTAAACAAGGTTGCATCCCCCTTGCTGAAGTGGTTTTAATATTGTCTGATATTAAAATCTGAATTTCTGTTATGGATACTATTACATTAGATACCTTAGTCAGAGCTAATGTCTGCATCCTATGAGCCGTGACTAGTGCCAACAAGGTAGCAACCTTTCTGGTTAGTTTATCCAATGGAAGTAATTCATTTGAAGGCCAAGATTCTAGGTGTGCTAAAACAAGTTGAGGATCCCATGTATAATTATATCGTCTCCTAGGGGGCCTGAGTCTGTGAATGCCCTTAACAAATCTGCGGATTTGTGGATCTTTTCCTATTTCTCCAGGCAATATCAAAGAAAGAGCTGATCTATAAGTATTGAATGTCCCATAAGAAAAACCATTTTTGTCTAGCTGTTCTTGCAGGAAAGTGACAACTTCTGTTACTCCTCCCTCCAAAAAATGTATATTTCTTGTCTGGCAAAAAACTCTCCATGCCTTGAATGTGGTGTTGTACTGTTTTAGGGTGGCCTTTGACAAGGATTCAATGATCGTAGGGATCCCACACTCCGGAATTTTTTTCCTTAAAAAAGCTTGCCTGATAACTTCCCGACAATCAAGGATGTTGCTGGTGGTTGGTGTTTCCTGGAAATAGATAAGAGTAGTTTCTCTTCATGGGGAAAATAAAGAGGTTCTTCTATCAGTAGTTTGTGGAAAATTGGGTACCAGGGCTGTGTATCCCAATCCGGAACAACTAGGATTCCAATTGCTTGGTCCTGAATTATCTTATTTAATGTACGTAATATTAATGAAAACGGAGGGAAGGCATAAAAATAATAATCATTCCAACTTATACTGAATGCATCAACTGAAATAGATTCAGGGTCGGGTAACCATGAAACATAAGTGTTACATTTTGCATTCAGATTTGATGCGAACAAGTCAATATTAGGGCTGCCAAACCTATCTTTGATTCTCAAGAATATTTTCTCATTCAGCTCCCACTCAGTCTCAGCAGGCAAGACCCTTGATTCCTGATCAGCTATAAAATTATCTTTGGTATTTATGTATGTGGCGAAAATCCAAATATTCCTTTGTTCGCACCATTGCCAAATGTCCTTAGCGAGTTTGCTTAATTTTGGATACTTGATGCTTCCCATCCTGTTGACATATGAAAGTGCAGTGGTATTATCAACTCTCAAAAGTACACTACATGAATGTAATTGTCTAGCAAAACATTTCAGGCCATAAAAAATACTTAAAAGTTCTAAGTAATTTATATGTTCATCTTGTTCTTCTAGTGACCACCAACCATGAGTTCTTTCACCTGTACAGTAGGCACCCCAGCCAGTAAGGGATGAATCAGTAAAAATTTCTAAGTAGAATGAATCTTGTCTTATGTCATTAAAACCTGACATAATATTGTTGGCCCACCAAGACAAATCATCATTTAGTGAATCTGAAATTTGCATAAATGACTCATAGTCTTGATTATTTCTACGAAGTGCAAGAAATTTTTCTCTCTCAAACTGTTTTGTATAAAGAAAGCCATACTTAATGGCTGGGCAGGCTGAAATTAATAACCCAACAAAGTGTGCAAAAAATCTTATTTTACAAACTTTTTTCTCTTTGATTATTTTTATTGTGTTCAGGATCTTGCATCTTTTTTCTATTGGCAAACATATTGTCATGTTTTCACTATCTAATGTGAATCCAAGAAAACTGCAATTTTTGGATGGTGAAAGAATACTCTTTTCATAGTTTACTGTAAAACCTAGACTTTCTAAGGTTGAAACTACTGTATCGACATTTTTCTCACATTCTTCTTTTGTTTTGCCAAATATCAAGAAATCATCCAAGTATATAACACATGAGATGGCATTCCTTCGAAAAAATGCAATAACTGGTTTAGTGAGTTTGGTAAAAACATAAGGCGCCAATGAAAGGCCAAAGGGAAGACATGTAAATTGATATAAAATGCCCTTAAATGAGAACCTCAAAAAATGTCTGTATTTTTTGTGAATTGGTAGGGCATAATAAGCATTTTTTAAATCAATAGTGGCCATGAAACAGCCCTTCTGAACTAATTTGATGGCAGTGCGGATGTCTTCTAATTTAAAATGTGGAGTATTAATAAAAGAATTCAACTTCTTTAGATTCAAAATGAATCTCTTACTTCCATCCTTTTTGTCAACCAAAAAATATGATGACAAGAAATGGTCTTTAGATTGGAGACAGGGTTCCACAACCCCCTGCTCTAAAAGAATACTCAAGGAACTTGAAATGTGGTTCATATCACTCATTGACAATTGCATCATATTTGGAGAATGAACTTGTGTGGGTTTACAAGAGAAAGGAATTTTGTATCCCTTGATCCAATTCAAAATCACCTTATTGTTAGTGATTTTCTTCCAACTATCCACAAAAAAACTCAAGTTTCTAGGTGAAGAACCTAGAGAACTTACCGACATTAATGGCGGCGTGGTCTGTAGTCTTTTCTCTGATTCTCTTTGTTCTGAGGGAAGTGCCCCTTGTACCTCTGATGTTCCCTCAGGTAACGAGGTGGGGCCTTCCGGTTTAAAGAAAGTTTTCCCTGTTGTATGAATGGTACCCTGGGTTTCTTTGACACTGGTTTAGAAACTGAGGGCATGTTTCTCATAAGTTCAGTGCTGGATTTCTCCACAGCTTTCTCATTTTTACATTGTTCAGCAAAATCCTTCCCAAACAGGAATTCATCAATATCATTCCCTTGAGCAATTTCACTGGCTGATCTGGATAGAAGTGGAATGATCTGTTTGCGCCTAGAAATAGACATACTATGGTGCAGGTCTGTTAATAGTTGACCAGCATCACATAAATGTGTAAGGAGTTCTTTGTCTCGATTTTTTGTAACCAATAGTATGTTGATAGCCTCCCCCAGAGCTACAATGCCTGTACCTAACTGGTTCTGTCCCAAAGTCTGAACTTTGTCCTTTGTAAGCTGGGATTGGGATAGTAATTTCTTGATTTCTGGATTGATCATAGGTGCACTCAATCTTGTACAATTTGAGGGGATTGGATATTTGGCTATCAGAGATGTCTTCATATCCTGATCTAATCCATTTTTCAAAATCTTTGTCCACCTAGGGGCCAATTCTGCATGACACTGGGTCTCTTTCTTATCATTCTCACTAGGGTCCCCCCCCAGACATCTCAGAGTTTCTTCATCTAATATATTTATATCTGTTGGGCAGGCAGAATTTGGATCAGGTATATTATCCAGAAGGCATCTGTCATTTACTATATGTGATGTCCTACTAGGGCTTCTGAGACCACTATGGGTGCTCTGACTTGGACTGGCACTAGGGCTTGAGCCTCGGCTTGTGGTTTGGTAGGAATCTATTGATCCTCTCAGGCTACAGTCTGGAGTAAAGCTTCTCGAGCTGTGGACAGGTGCCAAGTCTTTTGAATTATGAGTCGAGCCTCTCGGGCTTCGATCTCGTGTAGAGCCTTTTGGGCTTTGATCTCTTGTCGAGCCTCTCGGGCTACGAACATGTGCCAGGCCTTTTACGTTACGAATAGGTGCCGAGCCTCTCGGACTGCGATCTGGTGCCGAGCCTCTCGGGCTGCGATCTGGTGCCGAGCCTCTCGGGCTGCGATCACGCCTACTTCCTGAAGAAACCTTCCTGTCTAAATCGTCTTTAGATGTGGCTGTCGACCTTCTAGAGGTATGGACTACTGCTGATGGCCGGCTAGAACCGTGGGCTGCTGTTGAACTACGCGGGTAACCATCAGGAGCCGAGCCTCTCGGACTTCGATCCCCCCCGCTTGGTTTGCTAGCCACTCTCTCTAGTCTTTTTATACGGTCTACCAATTCCTGGACGAGCCGATCTGAAGACCTTCTACGCGACCTAGATCTAGAACGTTTTCTTTTTCTTGATTTGTGACCCATTATTCCTTGGATTTACAAAATAATCACAATTAAATGAAAGTTAACAAAAAACACGTGTTGTATCATCAAGCACAAAAAAGGTTATGAAGGAATCATGGAACACAATACATAGAGCATCGGAGATATTAGAGATGGGACGTCATCGAGGAATTAGAGATGGGAAGTTTTTATTTTTTTGAGACTTAAGTCTTTAAACGTTGTGGTCATCAAGCTCAGAATAAGGGTACTACAAGTGTAATCAAGGTGATCTCGAGGACGAGGCGCTGAAATATAATTTGTATTATTGTCTGCTAAAAGTACTAAATATGGAGAAAAAATCTAGTGAGCTGGATACGATATTTTTTTTTATCGCTTGGAGCGCACGAAAGGGAATCGCTCTAATGTACAGGGTAATCCACCGAAGAGCAATTAACTCAATGTAAGTTGATGTTTACATTGAGTTCAATGCCGAAGAAGCGCACCCCTAATATTTAGGTTATTTATTTTTCATCTTGAAAAAAACACTATATGCGGAAGTTGAATGCCCAGATGAGGCATTTTTAAGGCCCCTATCAAAAGTTTTACTGGGTGATTCCTAAAAATGTAACAAACCAGAAATTCATTTTTCAAATGGAACATTTCGTATTTTTTCAGAAATCACTATGATTCTTTGTGTTCTCAAATATCACATCGATTTGAAAAAATGAACTATTGAAGAAGCTGCTGCAACCATAGTGGTAGATTTATTGCCAGAAAAATCCCGGAACATTTTCTAGTCTAGAGAGTGCTCACTCTGTATACAAAATCGCTTATAGGTCGTGCAAAAACAGTATTTTTGATATGTTCTGAATATTGTACATTATTTATTGTGCCCCTCCCTGAGATTTTTTCTGCGGACGTCCCTGTTCGGTCTTGTTTGAAACGCACGAATTCAATATCACCTGAAATGGTGAAATGGTTCAGTCAGTGGTCCATCTAGAGAAAGGAGCAAAGAGACAGGGCGCAAGAAACAACCATGAATCAATATCGGCCATAACAGTAAATGCCTCAACAGTTGTTTTCAATCAATCACTTCGGAAAAAGATGAACTAGCGATGATATTCCCGTTGATATAACAATCAAAGCTGTTTTTCTGAGTTTTTGGGTAGTCTATTACTATGAAATCAATCAGAAGAGATATTTGATGTACAGATGACGCCACCTTATCGCCACCCTATATATTAATATTGTTGACGCATGCGCATAGCATCACCGAAATTAAAAAAAAAACTCATTTGAGTCGTATGTCATTCAAGTTTTATAGGTTATTCGTCAAATGTTTCCTTAAAAACATCATAACTTGGAACCAAAACATTGGAAGTAAGTATATGATCGCTATATAGTGCGAATATAGTACAATTGTTATTGACCTAAACTGCCTAACAATGAAAAAGCCTGTGTGTTCTGTTCCCTTTTGTTATACGAGAAAAAGTGAGACTATCAGCATTCATTCCTTTCCGAACGACTACAATCTAAGGCAAGAATGGTTAGGTACAATTTTGGAAGCAACGGGTATGTTTTTCATATATTCGAATAATATTGATGATTAATAAAACTAATAACTACCTGCTGACTTTTAGGAGTTGAATGGTATAATATTGGGGAGTTTTCTGGGATCTGCAGCAAGCATTTTAAAACAGAGTGTGTAATACAAAAGAATGATGGAAGAAAGATACTCAAGAGGGGATCAGTTCCTTCAATTTTCGAGGTTAGTATTAATTTTTGCAATACCTTAAAAAACAAGCAAACAAGTATTGAAATATTTATATTATTAACATATTGGGACCATTTTACCTCTCATTTACCATCAGCTTTGACTCAAATCAATTGATTCCTTAAGAATATTCCATATAGAAGTTTTTTCTATTGTCTATCACAAGGGTACCATGAATGAGAATTCTATAAATCCCTTTGTGTCTTGAAATAATTGCTAAGAGTGTTCAGCAGAAGAGCCTGATATTTCTTGAATGTTTTTTCTTGCATTATCTGGTTCATATTTTCTAGTTAATATATATTTTCCTAACATACTGAGAGGGCATATGTTATTCATATGTAAGTAAAAGCAAACAAGTATTCCCAGTCCAAACTTACAAACCAAAATGCAACCATAAAGTTTTAACATTTTAAACATTCTCTTGTGACAATGCCTCAAAAAATCATCAAACTTCAGAAGTTTTTTAAATTTATTTCCATGTTCGTCATGGCATATTGCCAGGAAAGTAGTTGTTTTCTATTGAATAAACTGAAAAAGAGTAGATATTCCCATCACATAGAGAATGTGAATTCTCAATGTATTGCTTCATATAAATATATATCCTTTGTTGTGTGTTCATAATTTATCTGAGAATATTCCTTTTCAAGAATTAAATTCACAGAGGCTCCTCTTTCAGAATTTCGAAAAAAAATCATGACTTTTTGAAAATACACGTGGATGGGAGTTTTTTTCTATGAATATGTTCCTCTAATTGTACTCGATAATGTGCATATCTCGCAATATTTTGTCGGTCAAGAATTAACCCCACAGGCCCCCTTTCTGGAAATTTCAAAAGAAAAATCGTAACTTTCAAAATATACGTGGATACCACTAGTGGTACTTGATAATGTGTATATCTCACAATAATTTGTCGGGCAAGAATTAACCCCATAGCCCCCCCCCTTTTTTTTCGAATTTCGAAAAAAAAATCATCAAGTAGAGAATGCGAATTCTCAATGTATTTCTATGTTCCTATCCATTTTATTTCATGTTCATAATATATCTGAGAATATTGAATATTCCTTTTCAATATTCGATTTGTTAGAGATAACTCTGTAAAACTTCTGATAAGAGCTGTGGAAACGCCTCATTACAGCTTTAACTTCCGCATATTGTTTTTCTTTTCGATACAAAATAACGTAAAAATGGGGGGGGGGGCGTTATGGATGGATAATTTATATGAAATGAGAACTCAAATGGCAAAGTTCAATTTACCGATAAGAATATCGGCAATTGCTCTTCCACTCAGCCATAACAATACTTAGCTACATAATTACCTGATATATCAAGAAATTTATGACGAATTTGTCTTAGCAGCCTCAAAATGGAGATAACATATGGCCGCCGCGTTCCCATGGAAGGGTGAGCAAGGTCACCGACTGGGTTTTTTCAGAAGTAAGTGAATGTTACTGACAATAAAGAGTAGAATACTGTCTGTAGGTTAATTGAGGAGGTGGTACAATCATTTTACTTGATTTTTTGTGATTTTCTCTCCTCGTTCCTATAAAATAAAATTATTCGTATTATTTCAATATATTTGTAGTGGAACAAATCAGATGATTTGCCCCAAAATGTCACTGCCTTTAACAAATTTTTCTATCAGGGAATCTAATAGAAAAATCCAGTAGCTTGTCAGTGACAATTTGTTTGAAAAAATGTTTGAAGGAAAGAAATATAGATAATTGTATTGAAAAAATATCGACTTTTCATTTATCTTTGGACAATTCGGGACCGAATCTGCTCCCGTTCTCGACATGTAAATGCAAAATATTTCTCTTTGAAATTGTGCTGCTTATAGTTTGAATTTTTTCAGTGTCATACTGATGTTGGCATATGAATGAGTGATTTTAGTCTACAAATGAGTTACAGAATGTTTTTATTAGGTGATCTTGAATCTACCTTTTTCATATAGATAGAACTTGGTATTCACTTTTTTTTAATCGCTTGGAGCGCACGAAAGGAAATCCCTATAATGTTAAAAGAACATCGTGCGTTCCTAGGGGGGATAGGGACAGGAGGTAGGTATTGGAATTTTTTTTGAACTTTTGGAGATTATATGTTGTTAAGAATACAGCTAATTTCAAACGTACTGTCATGACCGCCATTCGGCGATACGTCGAATAAATGGTTACGTTAGTTTTTATGCTGTTTCGTTATTGGTCCGATAATGTTTCATTCCCACTCATGAAGCAAGGTTGCCAAGTTACCAATTATAATCAAGTTATCGAAAATATGTTAAAGTCCTATCGTTGAATGAAACAGAATAGGAGGAACCAATGATATTATAGTTGATTCCCGACTTTTTCGAGCAACCAGCATGTCCAAATATTTTTTATACTACATAACAAAATATTATGTAAATGAAGGAGATTTGGCAACATTGTGCTGAATGCTGAGAACTGACAAGACCATGCCCACAAGTCGTGCGCCGTGTTGTCACGTTTACCCGAGCGTTTACCGACAATTGCTTTTTTGGTGCTAATTAGGAATATTACCGTAATTGAAAATTCATGGATTATTGATTAGGTAATATTTCTTAAAGTTCCCAATCGTATTTCAACATATGGCGACTGTGACGTCAGTTTTTACTCGCGGTAAATTTCTAGCCGTTTGAAAATTACTGTGGCATTATTGATGGTTTTGGCACCTCAAAATCGACCGAAAAATTCTAAAAAAATATGTTATTGAAAGGTGATGATTCTATTTAAGAAAAAAAAAATAGTCCACGCCTTGTCTCATATAATAAATACCATTGGAAATCATAATAATCATAATAAGAATCTGAATATAATATATGATTATGTCTAAGAACAACTAAAAATGGCTCTGGCTCAGTTTCTCATAAAGTGCGGTTTCAGCACAGAGCAGCTGTAGACATAAGTATATTGAACTTTAAAAGCCACATCAAGTAGAAGTAGATGATGTATCAGATTGTAACCTTCTACAGGAAGATATAAAAAATCTCTGTGGTTGGTGTGAGAAAAACAACCCAGGTTTAAATATTGATAAATGCAAAATTATGTCTTTCACTCGGAAACGAATTCCAGTTAAATTTAATTATCAAATCTACCACTCGGACCCATGCTGGTTTTTGCTTATAATATTATTGACATCAAGGAACTTCCACAACTGTGCCAGCATAGCATATTCAAAAATTTTCGAAATGATGTCAAGTTTGCTACCTTTTTTGTATATAGGTGATACTAGAGATGTTTTCAATCGAGTAGGTAAGGCTCCTTCTGAAAATGATACATTGTTTAGATGTGTCAAAGGTTTTGTTATTTGCATGGAAATCTTCTTTATCAGATTCGTCAACTCTACTATCCTTTCTCAACTTCACTGTTCTACGTGTGCCATCTAGATCCCAACTGCTATTCAACATTGGGATTCCTCACACTCTTCATCACTTTCACTGTCCCATCTCCACAATGTGTCGTAGTTATAATAACTTAACCCTCTAATGCTCCAGACCCGCCTCTAGGCAGGCTATATCTGATACTATATGAAAAACATTTGATTCATATGAAAAATATTTGAGGATATTCTCAAGTGTGAACGATCGGCTCCGTCTGTAGTCGTAGTTTCTTTCTTCATTTTGGTTAGCTTCGCAACGCTCTATCTTGCTTCGTTCGACAGTTAGTCCATTTAGTATCGAACATTGTTCGAGTATAAAGTCGTCAAAATTGGAGCATTAGAGATATATTCTTTTCCAGCCTACCACATATGCAATACATTACCTATTACGAAACTTATGGTACAGTCCTACTTTCATGTGTACACCTGTAATTGGGTTGTCGAACCTGCTGGATGTATTAAATAAATAAATATGAATCAATAAATAAATAAATCAATCAGAGTCAATTTCTGATGTATACTGGGACCCGGACCCTGTGTCTTCGTTGCTATTTTGTATGGATGTTTCAAATTTGGTACATCGATTTGATTTCATGATTGTATAATTTCTCTAGTACCAGACCAAATATGACACTTACCGGAAGTGCATCCAATTTTTTTTATTTCAAATACAAAGTATACGTTTTTTTTTCTTCTGGAAATTGCGATTCAGTATAAAATCACCTTTCCAACGATATATCACAATCATACTTTCAATCTAGAATCTACTCATAAAATTGAGATTTCATAAAAAATTACTTTTTGTATTCCCCTCGTAACTTGCAGGTTGTTGCGTCAGATTTTGCAGTTCGAATAATAATTTTTAACCCATGGAAAAAATTAAATATCATAGCCAACTTGATTTATTTGATCCTATTGTGTTCCGGTCATACTTCCGTCATGTGATAACGAGCTGAAACAAAAAGCAAATGAAAGGAGATATTGTCCCATTTGCGAATATCCAAACGTGCAGCGAATCAAACTGAGCTAAGTGAATGGCAGAGCGTCAGTATTTCAGAGAATATTTCGGACATAAGGTTAACATGAACTTGTTTTATTTATTATGACATAAAGAATCTGACCTCGAAGTTTTGTGCAACATAATAATCATACGGCCAGCCATTCATCAATTCGTTTTACAAGTAATTCAAATTTGCTCTAATTCGTATTGCTTCTTCAAACTTGAAATATAGCTGAGCATTTTTGTTGGTATTCAGGATAATAAAGTCAGAATCCATTTTTGATAAAGCTGAAAATGTTGCTTGTTCCTTATTACCTTTTATTGGCTGAAAAATCTTTTATTCATTTTTCAATATTTTCAGAAGGCGTTGAGTAAAAACGAAAGTACGTGTAAAACATGTTCTGTTAATTTGTGTGCATCACAAAAATTTCAGATGCATGACTATATTCCTGAATCAGATATCAAAATAAAGGACATGATTATTCTTCTGGTTCCTGGAATGGTAAGATTATTATAGATTTCTATATCGCACACTTGAAAAGTGAAAAGTTACAAACTGAAAAACTGCATTATACTCCTGAAAATATTTGGGATAACCGTGTCACATAATAGATTAGAAACTGTTTTGTTTTTATCTCTCATATTTCTCATAAGAGTTCCAAGTTATAATTCAACTTAGCCTTCTTAATGTTATAATATAAGAAAAACAAAGAAGCAAACGAAATGACTCAACAGAGACTTGTCATGTTTTGATATTGCTGATATTACTGGCCATAGTAAGCAATTTACTATCACTAAACAGTAGCAGTAGCTTTGAATTTTCTCTTCATTTCGGAACTTTTTTTGGCAGTACTGGTACATTACACTGGCAACAAAACATAACATAAGATCTTTCGATTTTCTATATTTTGTTTTGTTTGTTTTTATTTTTATCATTTTTTTAATTGACTCTGTTGTTACTTGATGGAAATCCATGGCAAATGTAAAAACTTCACAAACGATAAGATTTCCACAATTTTTTTTATTTCAACAAATTTTGTCAATTAACTCGCAAATGTTACAGTTAAAATTTGAAAAAATAGTGATCAGAGCCTACTAATAATATCTGATAAGTAATTTCATTTGATTTTTTGTTCTTCAAAATTGGATTGTTCATAGCAACGCTATGGCTTAGAGCGTTTTTTGTCAGTCAGCCTATAAATATATACAGTTTAACCCATTTGAAAGTGGGACAGCTCCATACATTTTGTATTGATTCATCGAATTTGACCATTTTTTTATTGTAGAGCTTGAAAAACTGTACTTCAGGACGAAAAACATTTTTTTTTTCTACAAAATCCAGAGCACTGCTTATATTTTCAAGGGTTAAAATTCACGAATCGTATTAGCTCCTTTTTTCGAAAAATTTGGTTCTCATATACATGAAACATATTCGATATCAATAATTTTGTAGCCAAATCAAAATTCACATTGTGATGAGAGAATGGTTGATTGAAAAGTATAGGAATAAGTGGATTGGTCTGGATAGTCATATCATTCAATGGCTGCCAAGATCCCTGGACCTGACCCCACTGGATTTTTTATTTGGTGTATTGTGAAGTAGAAAAATAACAAGTACAGACCGCAGTCAGTAGAAGAACTACTCATCAACGTTATTATTAATATCGAATATTATTTGTTGATGAAATTCGGTATACAACCATGTGAGGGGTTTCTGAATCCATAATGGTGATTTTAAATTTTTGTCGTAAAAAAATAACACTAATATGAGTTTTGAATTTTAACTCTAAGAGTTTACTCACTAGGCCTTGGTGTTTGCAGAAAAATTAACATGCGTCCAAAAATACAGTTTTTTAACCTGCACAATTCAAAAAAAAGTTTGTCGAAATAGGTGTATTAATATAAGTTTTATTCAGGTGTCTCGCTTTCAAGTTGGTCACACTGATTATACAGGGTTTATCACTTAAAACTCCGCAGGTCAATATCTCGAAAACTGATAGCAATATTTAATTTCTGTAGAAAGTAGTTAAATGATGGGGTCATGTAGATTTTAATCGAAGTTTAAAAAATGCATCGCCTAGTAAGAGCTGAGCGTCGTGACGCGTCGAAAATATAAATCGATTACATTACATTGACTTTGAAATTCCGCGCACTCAACAGTCATGTCATTTATAAACTTTTTTGTCATTTATTCGAACTTATTTATTCCACTCATTTTGGAGTTTTACCGTTTTATAGTGAATGTTCGCGATTATGGATGATTTTCACAAGAATGTCATTTCGTCAAAAAATGACAAGGTTCGCGCATTGATAACAAATTGCGAAGTGACTTTTTTCAGTTTCCTACGTTACCATGATAACTTCCCAAAAAAATGCGCGGAGTAAAACAATGCGCGAAGTATCTACTTCACGCATATGAGATATTTATTTTTCAACTTCATGGTCCTCAACCGAGTAAACATCCACGAAATCATTTATTTCTGAATGTTCAACAATAACTTTGTTTTATCTCTTGGAGAGCACGATAGGAAATTCCTACTATGTTCTTGGACCATCGTGCGTGCCTAAGGAGGATAGGGGGAGGCCTTTTAAGCCAGTTCAACACTATTTTTTATATAAAGCTAAGCATATTTTTACTTTAGAATTATGTTTTTTGACGTTTGTAGAAAAAATGTTGTTTGCAACTCGAGCGCGAAATACTTTGGTCATCTCGACTATTTTTTTAACTCGGCTACGTTTCGTTAAAAAAATCAGATCTCGATCATCAAAGTAGCATTTCGCGCTGTAGATACAAAAATAACTATTATCTCACTCATTTTTGGCTAAACTATAATGATCAAAACGCTATTAACTACTTACATACTTCATGATGAAACAAATTGTTTTTTTTTCAAAATTATGTCCATCTGTTCGAATACAACTATCAAAAACGTTGAGCAGATGAGCTTGTTAACTTGTAGAAACGTTCTTCTTGTCATGATTAGCCATATCTTCGATTGGCTCTTCATAGACAACGTTCGTTAGGCGACCCTAGGGTCCCTTGATGGAAATTGACGTTAAAGTCATCTTAACAGGGTACGGACAGATACTCGTCTCCTCTCACTCTAGTGTTTGTGAAACAGTTATATTGTTCCATCCTTATTCAATTCTGGGGATAAACACTAGATTTTTGACATTTGTTGTTTTTTAGGTTATATTGAGGTCATTGGCGTATCATACGAAATTTCCATTTGGAATTCCTGTTTCAACTATACCAAGATATAGATGAACAATCCTCTAGTTTTAGAGTTTACTACTCCAGCATAATCTTTGCCAGGTAGGGAACATATAAATTGTACTGTCGAAAGCTTAATTATTTTACCAAATCATAGACTGTATATGATTGAATTTTAATTTCAAGCTGAGCAGTAGTTCATCTATGAGCTGAATGAGCTGAGGCTTATGATTGAGAAATGGTGAAAACCTCGATACCAATTTTGATTTTTGAATAGAATCGGATCATAATTACAAAATCCGTTCGCCATATTGGATCCGCTATCTCGAATTTCCCAATTTTGACAAAAAATCATGAAGTACGACCCCAAAAACCCTCAGATACCAATCTTAAATAGAATCAAATCATAATTAGTCATTTCTTTCGCTATATATTGCATCGGTCATCTTGAATTTTCCAAGTTTGACGAAACAATCATTATCTCCAACCCCGGAACACCCCAGATACCTTCCAATTTTGAATAGAATCGGATCATAATTACAAAAATTTTCAATAATTTTCTGTAACACCCATGGATGTGACGTGACAGCAATGTCAGGGATGCCAATAGACAAAACTAAAGTCTCTAGATCATTAAAAAAGAATGCAGCTATGATCTGTCCGTACCCTGTTAAGTTTACTTTAACGTCAATTTCCATCAAAGGACCCTAGGTGACCCCAAAGAAAATAATCCCACTTCATTGGTCCCTTAGTGCCCAAGCTTTGGGTTATTCTTTGTTTAAATATCTCGTTACAATTTCCTGCTGTAGCCTCATTATCATTCTAATGCTCAAAGGGAACTTCTTCTAATAGTTCCGGAAGTGTAGTTTGAAGAAATCTTAGATATCGATCTGCATTCAAAGTGCCTTCATACAAGTGAGGCCCAATAAGGAATCCGTTTATCATGGCGCACCAAAATTTGATGCCAATAATTCGCTGATTACCGAGGATGGTTTTCGGACCAAAAACGACAGTTGTGTCTGTTCACGATTCCATTATTAAATGGAATCAACTTTCGTCGCTCCATAGAATTTTCTTGCTAAAAACAAAGTGAAAATCTTGCTAAGAAATCAATTCTTATAGCAAGATCACTTGCAGTTCTAATGTATGCATATGTCGGAGTCAAACAGTGAAATCCGTCATTCTCTGGAATGTCTAGTCATTTCAAGTATTGCCGGCAAACAGCGTAACTCTAAATTTCGTACACCGTTTGCCTAATAGTTTCAGGCATTTCCTGGAATGATGGAAGGAAGGTTCATTTAGACCGAGTCAGCTTAGGTTGTTTAGAAGCAGTCTCTTCTGTTCTCAGGTGATTTTCTGAAAAATATACTTTCTAGGAAGAAGGTTCATTGAGTCTTAATATGCACTTCCCAAAGAGGCCTTAGAAGGATATTGAAAGTATTGTTTTTGTTCTTTTGTGCCCTTTCTTTGTTTTCCCCACCACAACGTCTCATGCTTACGTCACAATACGATAAATTCTGATTTGTTTTCGATTTTGTTCTCCTTGTTCGCAATTCGCAATTGGCATTCGCGTTTGCAGCGTGTCACGCTTACATCACCCTGCTAACGAACATAAAGGAATTTGGTGAAGTTTATTGTGTTAGAAGACTTATTTATTTTGTAATAATGACCATCAGATGCAAGATGTGTTGTTCGGTGCCCCAGTGCAATCAATATATAAAAGTACGAATTCATCAATACACAGCTTCTCCGCAGTTGCAAAATTATGTATTGTGGAGAACATTTCAAAAATTGCGAAACCTATTTCCAATTATATGTCTGTGAGTAGTAAGCACTACTCAGAAACCGATTAGGAAGGTAATTTCATATCAAGAAAATATTTTTATGTTCAATCTATTTTTAATGCATTTTTTCATGCAAGGGAAATGGAATCCTAATGCAAAAGTTCATTTTGACAAAAGGCTTCAGAAAAGTACCTCGAAAATGGATTTTTTACAGCGGTGGTGCGCAAGACGCGTTGAAAATGTTCTGTTGTGTCCATGAAAAGGCTTTAAAAAGAACTAGGGAAAAGGTAGTTTCGTGACATATCAAGGACATCTCGATAATTGCCGCCTGCGGCGGACATTGGCTGTTCTATAATAGTTCTATTCATGTGTGAACAGAACATCGCAGTGGAGGTTCAATGTCTCCAAATCTCGTACTTTCAACATCTCTGAGATGTTTTTGTGCTCGCTGGGTACTATTTTAGTTTTGCACTTGAAACAATTGCGATAACAATGGTTGCCAAGGTAACTAATAATATGCAATCGCATCATATTTTGTCAATCAAGAAACATTTACTATAATCCGGCATAACTTAGATATGAGTAAAATAAATAAATTTGAGCAAATAACAAACAAAATTATAAAAAAAACATGTACTCTTGAGTGCGCGTGATATCAAAGTCAATGAAATCGATTTATACTTTCAACGCGTCGCGACGCTCAGCTCATAGTAGGCGTTGAATTTTTCAAACTGAAAAAAATCTACTTCACCTCATCCATCGCCTTCATTTGACAGAAAACGAATATTTCTATTCGTTTTCGAGCTAATGGCGTGCGGAGTTTCAAGTGAAAAACCCTGTATAAAGTGTCGAGAATATTTCGCGAAAATATATAGGTACCTATTGCACGATTCGATGTATATACAATTACATTCAATTCATCATGTTTTTATCGAAATTTTCAAATATTTCAGAAATATTCTTTGACGAAAATTGATATCATCTGCGAAGAATGTCATGAAACCTTGATACAGTGTGCGCAATTCAAGAAAACATGTTTACTAGTAAATTCAACATTCCAAGGAAAACTACAGAGGTATGGAAAGCGCCGTTCTCCCGCAGTTATTATTGAAGGTAAAACTGATTTTCATCACTTATTGCATAATCATCATTGAATTCAGGGAGACGATTCAGTATTCAATTTGTTTCAAAAAAAACATTTATAAAGTTTTATCTGATGGAAAATAGGTGGATCAGACAAGACTTCGGTTTATACAGGGTGGAACTGGGAAGCGGGAGATGTTATCTAGGATGAAAGGCATTGCTCTCTTCATAACGGTCCAATACAATGCTGAAAGTGGGCAGAATCAAAAGTGGAGGATGGGAATAAGTTTATGTCTCACGTCCCAGGCGGTTTCAGTCGCTATAATAGTGGTCCGTGTACAGCGTGCCTTCCATTTGAGGTTCAATAACATTCCTTGCGGCTGAATTTCTCATCGAAATCGAAATCTTGTGTGTATAAATAGAGTTGGGACACCCTGTATATCCGAAATATCCCTAGTAGAAAAATTTTCTGGGATGAAATGAGAGCTGATGAAATTCTCTACAATTTTCTTTCGAATAAAAGATTTTTACCTCACATTATTCATCACACTACTTCATATCGTTGAATCTATTCATTTCCTTGAGGAAATAATGAGAATTTGATTTTCTTCTAAGAAAAGTCTCTCAATTTTTGTTGGCCGTGGAGTATTTTTTTGCTACAATGAATAACCAGAAACATAAGTCATCTTTTAAAATGTATAATATGTCTCTATGGATGCCCGAACTTCAATTCCATCATAGGTATACGTTACTTGACCCAAGACTGAAAAACTTGTGTATATTGTGAAAAAATTTATTCCAAGGACATAAATCAAAGTTTCAATGTTTGTAGATGTTTCGTTATATGGTCAAAATGGCATTGGAGTCAATTCATGTTCTAACAGTATAACGCGTCTGAGTGAAGGAAGTTCATCTCTATTGAAAAATACCATGAATGTTGAAGACAATCCACTTTCTGAGAGTATAACACTGCTGGATGAAGGAAGCTCACCTGCATTGGAAAATACCATGAATGATGTTAACAATACTGCTGGAAGTGAAGAGGATGTAGAATCGAATCCGGAAATCACTGATCAAATTCTCGATGAAAGTTGGGATGTGTCATTCATACCACCAGGTGAATATTTCGTCTGCTCACTTAATCGAGGCATTTGCTCCCTCACTTGAGGAAACAAAGCTGTCAATTCACTCCTAAGGTAGGAAAACAACATCACCTTCGGCGGCTTCAGCTTGCTTTCTTGTAATACAACAGAATATTGAATTATATCTGTCAAATATTGGAAATACCTAATTTAAAAAATATGAAAGTTTAGCAATAACTATTGTTTAGATATCTAACAGAAATGAGATTTTTGGGTGACATGAAACATAATTTCGAGCTTCTGCTTGACAATTGAGAAATTTTAATAGATTCATTCTTTGATTGGTGAAAATGGAATTATTTGACATGCCTTGTCATGGAGGTAGAGGTCAATCGTTCATAGCATAACTTGTAACGCATATTGATTTGGACCACCTAAAGCCTTGAAGCACAATTTGAAGACCAATAGACTTAGACGTATTTAAAATTAAATGTTAAAACTTCACAAACGATGAGATTTAGACAAGTCAATATCATAAAACAGATTGCAGTCAACAACGGATACAACTTTGATTTGATAGACAGTATCCTTTCTGAAAAACTTCATAATAAAGCTATTCAAGAAGTTCATCCTACCATCAAAAATAATAATCAAAATTATAGAACTTTAACCTATTTCGGATCATCAACTGAAAAATTAGTTTCATTTCTACATAAACATGACTTAAAAGTAGCATATAGGCGACAGAGATTAAGATCGTAGTGCCAGAACGGCGAATGTCGGTACTACTCTATGGGCCATTGGCGGATTGTTTACATTGTTTGGTAATGGTGTTTATGTTTATTTCGTTTTGAATTTTCAAACGTTCACCTTTGTTATTTGTCTATTTTCGAACTTAGTATTTTCCAGCGGTCTACTGTGTTGATTGAGTACTATATTATCTCTGTTCAACATTGGATAACCTCCTTACCTCTAGTTGAACTTCATACATATACCAACATACATAAGCTGTAAGTTTTTATCATTATTGAACAAGAATTCTCATGAAAACCTGTGTGGGATGTTGATTTCTAATTGGAATATATGGCTGGGAAATTCCCCTGATAGCATGATATTTTTTTTTTTTAAATCCAGCATACTTTTTGGGAATAAAATGTTCTTTCGAAGGTGAATTTAGGTATACAGTTTCTACTTGACTTTTTACAACATAATCATCAAAACCCTGATTGTTTAAAAATTCTACTGTTCATGAGTAAAGATATAATCAGTTCAAAATTTGTTTCTTTTATGACCATCACCTCAAGAAGTAGGTATTATATTCAAGATAGACATACATTTGAAAATATACCTATATGAGTAAATTTTCAAAAAAACAATATCTCATTATGATCAGACACTTTTTCCAATCTTCAAGTTATGAATCCACACCTTTCTCCTACCGATCACTTCCTTGTTTCCTAAATTATTAGTTTCAAATACAGATTTAGACTGTCCTGATTTTTGAAAGGAATGAAAGTTATACTCGGGAGTTTTTGCTCGAGATGAACAATGAGGTACCTACACAACAATACTGACTCATGTTTTTAAACGTTTATAGAAGTTCTCAAACAAAATTATAGACAATTAAATCACAACTACTTCTCATACAAAATACACGCAAACTAATGTAAACGAAGCAATCAATGGCCCATACGTTAGTTATATTAGACAACGGTAGAGGGCGTACTCCTTAGCATGATTCGCCTATAGAACAAATAACACGTTGGGAAGGTTCATCAAAACTTCAAATTCGAAAAATCAGGGGTATACAAACTCAACTGTGGATCTTGTTCTAAGGTATATATCTTACGTTTAATCAGCGCATTCATGAACATGAGATGATTTTTTTTTTAAGAAAACAAATTCAACAGACGCCAACCATATATTATAAGATAACCATAGTTTTCATGATAATTTCGAAATTCTACACGTAGACAATAAAGGAATGAAATTCAATTAGTTTGAATCATTAGAAATCAACAAACTCTAAAATTCTAACATTTCTATAACTATCAACTAGAACTCAATGGTTCACCACTGTCGAATTTGTTTTTTAGTAGGTAATTATCTGTATTTGCTATCAACCCATTCAAGTTAATCCGTTACACCGTATTTTGATGAAGATATTGTGCCTATTTTCCGAAAATGAAGGTTTATCTAACCTTTCCACAGATAATTCTAATCCTTCAGATTGGGAAAGTAGGATATGATAAGTGTAGGCAAGCCAAGGTTAGTTTATTTCATTGTACCAGTATTTCACCTGATGAAGCTACTGTTGTAGCGAAACATGTCGTGTGATTACGAGTTTTGTGGAAATCTAATCGTTTGTGAAACCTTTATTTTTGCTATAGATTTCCATCAAGTAACGGTCGAGTCAATTCAAAATTTAAAATTCAAACTACGACTTTCTTAAGGCACTTTTTAACAAGTAATCTAAATAAATGTAATCTCATTCCAAGCATATACGTATTAATAAACAATACGGATCATAACGGGTGCCAGGATGAAGCCAAAAATATGAAACAAATGAATATCCATAAGGATTTGGTGGCATTATACGCATGCGCCATGCGCTATTATAGTAGTCATCAAAGACATGCGTTTCGGTGGACAATGACGTTTACTAGCCTTTCAATCAAAGCAGTATGTGTCTGATCGTTTCAAAACTTTTCCTTATGGATAGTCATTTGTCTTCAAAAATCGGCTTCATGTTTCGCTATGGAAACAGATAGATATTATCCGTATTGATTATTAATACGTATATGATTCCAAGGCGATTTCGATTCCAGAGTTGAAATACTCATCAGCTTTGGTTGATCCTATGGAATTTTTGCATTTATCGAAAGTTTTTTCTTGATCACGAAGATTACATGCTTTTCAAAATTGGGAATAATCGTTTTTGCGCAGTACTTTAAAGATGATGTCAATAAGGACCACTCAGCATTCTGTTCATGGATGCATAGTTCAAACAATTAATTATCATGAGTGACCTTCAAAATCTGATAATGATGCCAAATGGCATCACTAAACGAGAATCAATCTACTCCCGTTTTTAATAGAACAATGAAAGTCTTCGGTTTTTTATATTGGCACTCCTCAGTGACAAAATCCTCCAAAACTGTGTTACAGAATTTTTTTATCAATTGATATTTTTGTAGATTCACAAGATGATGAGGCAAATACTAGTAGGCAGTTGGAAGTCATCAAAAATGTTCAGGATGCAATTGTTGAAGATAACTCAACTGACAACACTACATGCCCTGAAACTGAAATGATGACACTTAGCGATGCAGAATGTTCATCTGTCATGGAAGGTGTTGATAATAATGTCAATCCCAATAATCTATCAGAGAATGACAATTCGTTTATGCAATCAATCCCAGAACTGTTTCATGTCCTTCCGGATCATGGTAGGATATTGTCATTCGTGCAACCCGCAGATAAAGAATTTGAACAATTCATCAATATCCTAGCCAGCAATGGAGTAAATGTCTGCCAGTCTTTGAATGATATAACAGATGTAGGTAAACGAAAAAGAATTTTACTGCTAGGAGATACATTATCGTCCTGTCAAATTTGCGGTGAATCTTTTTCCAACACAGTATCTCGTACAAAGCATTTGAGAACTCATAAGTTGATACCAAAAAGGATATGCGGCCCAAGAGTTTATAGACATGGGGATTTGAAGTGTGGAAGCTGCTTAACAACGTAAGTTGGATGATGAGTGCATAACGTTCGTATTATCGGTGAATATGATAATAGGAGTGGGTGATAATTTTTGTCGGTTACTCGACCGAAAAGATACATACTATGATGAAGATGATGGAAAGCCCTAACTACGAGTGACAATGGAAAATGAAAAAACTCCACCGCCCCGTGTGAGAGTCGAACTCACAACCTCTGGGTTACATGCCCAACGCTCTGCCAATTGAGCGAACGGGTCGTCCGTCGATCAATAGGCAGGGAGGTCGAGTTCTCATCACACACCATCGATCGACGACGACCCGTTGGCTCAATTGGCAGAGCGTTGGGCATGTAACCCAGAGGTTGTGAGTTCGACTCTCACGCGGGGCGGTGGAGTTTTTTCATTTTCCATTGTCACTCGAAATTAGGGCTTTCCATCATCTTCATTATTGAATATGATAATGCCTACAATTACCATTGACATAACCTACTATCTAGACCGCGATATGATTTGTCCAAAACAACTCTGAATTGTGAGAGAAAATATATTTATTATCAAAAATTCAACTGTACCATTGTTCACCCTCTTACAGACTTACAGGGAATGACAATTTCATAAAACTAAAACTGGGTGATCTGAATCTCGCGACATTTCATTCCCATCAACTGGCAACACTGTTTATGTGTTTGGTGTTAGTCGTATTGTGGTATTAGTAAGCATATAACGGTTGAGAAAAAAATACCTAATTTCTTGCGAATTCTTGGATGTTCACGTTCACATGGAAAGAAATGATTTAAATTCTGAAAAAGAATCTGTTACATTTACAGCAAATAATGTTTTGCATGTAGTGGAACGTCATACTCTCAACTGATGACTCAGACAACGACAAATGCTTACTCCTAAAATAACATTGTCATGCTGACTGAGCACTGGGTAGTTAGCGTCACTGGATGATATCACAGTTCGGATACAGAAATGACAACTATTTGTGTTTTTGAATGTTTAGATTTATTATTTATTAAGTTCCACACCTTGCATTGTGACAAGAGCATCATAGAGTCGTCCCGCGCTTTGTCATTCGAAATGTTTTCAAATTGACAATAAATGTTATGAACGCTAGAATTGAAATATAATTTCATAAACTATTGATGAGGAGAAAGCATAAATGAAAATTTCCTGCTGTGTAATGAATTGTGCGAGTTCTGAATAGAATGTATTTCATTTCTTTAATTTTCCAAAAGAAATATCAACCATTCTCTTATGTTGTGAGGTACATACATTAAAATTCACTATTTATAAAAGAAATTAGAATGGCGTTTTCAATACTGACCGACCTAGCTGAAAGTTTATCAATATGTGTCTATTTTGTCATATTAAAATGTTGTTACCTGCATTATTTTCATTTTTATAACTGTTGTTCTGCGAAAAGTTCCATATCGCTATGAATTGAAGTGGGTGTTTATACCCTATTTCTATTATCCATCTACGGCTGTATGATTGATTTGACAGAAAATCTAACCTCTAAAATCGTATCTGACAATCAGGCGATATTAGGGAAATTGAAAAGACAAAGAGCAGAATATATGTTTTATTCTTTCATTCACTCAAACCATTGTAATATAGAAAATAGAGAAGGACAGTAGTTCAGCTGTGTCCGAACTCTTATTTAACTAATATCATCCAGTGCTGAAAGCAGAGACTCGTTTTAGCTACGAAGTGGGGGACAAGGGGGACGAATAAATGTAGAATCCAGTTGGATACTAGACATCTATCACGTGTATCTGTTGAATTTTGAGGTGGTCGACTGGTTCTCGTATTAATGCATTGAAAATCCTATATGCCGGCAAATGTTTTTTACATCTGTATTCCAAGCACCGAGAAGTGGAAATGTGAAGCGATGAAATTAAAATAAACTCATTTTACGCTGTTCCAAGTATAACGAACTTTCTTCACTTCATGCGTGATATACCATTCACAACTGTCGTCATGTAATAATCTATTACAGGCTGTCTACTCAAGAGGATATCGAATATCATCGAAAAATTCATCCGCAGTTCGTTTGTGAGCTTTGCGGTAAACGTTCTTCCACCTTTCAAGGATTGCAAGTACACAAATTAGTACATAAAGAGAGCGATTTGATTTGCGAGCAATGTGGAATGTTGTTCAAAAGTCCCTTTGCTCTGTCTCACCACATAAACAGCCACAACAAAGAGAACTATACGTGCCGGAGATGCGAAAAAATATTCAACAGCAAGCAGGATTTGAAGGATCATGTAAAAAGCACACATGCCATTGATCCACAAAACAAGTAAGTTATTTGGATATGCAGTAACCTCAATTGTAAACAGAGTGATCAAAATATGAATGCGAAGAACTATTGAGTGAGTTTTTCCCACCCCTGACGTTAACCTGTCTATCTAGCTACCACCACATCGCTTCCCCTCTCCCTTTGTTAGACTCAGATAAACAATTTATTGAAGGGTAGGTTACATCACATCAGTATCAAAAAAAATCATGACACAAGTCATATTTGGTAGGTTAGGTTAAAAGTGAGTGGGTCTATTCGGCACTTCACCTTTTAGTGAAGCCGATTAGTTTAATTGGTAAGTGATCTTTCAGCTCGGATCACCCTACAGCCCAAGTCTTGACATACAATAATTCAGGTGTTCAGTATATCTTTGGCAAAACTTAATAAGATGCCAATGGCAGGTACTGGTCAGATGAAACCACTTGCGACACCTTGACTTGCGAGAGAATCTGCCGTTTCATTACGTTCCATACCAGAGTGGCCAGAAATCCAGACCAGAAACAATTTTTTGAGCCTTCCAATCGCGGATAGTCTTTTTTGGCAGTTAAATACCAGTATAGACGTTAATCGGTTCAGTGCGCAGTATAAGCTGCCGTGCCGACCGTTCCGAGGCGATTCAGTGCGCGTCCTTTATTTGATTCAGAAGAAATGGTACATTAATGATTTAAGAAGCATTACAGATCAATTTCTTCGTTCTTTAAGGCTAACTGCAAAATTCAACACAATTGATTGATTGAAATATCGTGAATTCCAATAATTATTTTAATGAAAAGTAAAAGAAAAAACTCTTTCAAAAAGCTTTTATTCAAACGCTCTATGAAGAAGAAAATAGAATTGTCCTTTCAAATTTTAAGTTTCAACTTATAACCTCAATATACACAACGCGATGATAAATATTTGATTAAATAGAAATTAGTAATAGTTTATTTACACGAGTAAATCGCTGCGGGATTAGGAAGAGCGGGACAGCTTATAGTGGATTCCAAGTTACCTTATAAAAACATCAAGTGACTTTTTCTCCTATAACTTTCTTGAAATCTCATTTTTATATATGTTGACAAATTGTAATTTTAGGAAGGGGCACCCCAAGAAAGCTAGTTCAAGAAGTAAAAAATGTGGAAGAGATCACATTGCCACAAGGAGTTGTGAAAGAAATAATACAACATCCACAAGAGTCACTAGATCATCAAAAAATAAAGGTATATCGCCAAATTTATTTTGTTTATTTTCATTATTTTCCTAGGTAACATTCCTTCATCATTATTCACATGTCGATTTCTCAGGCTAGTGATGGAATAGTTATTTATTATACAAGGGAAAAAAGTAGTAGATCTTAGCTCCAGGTTGTGTTGTCTCCCGACGCGTAGCGGAGGGAGACAAAAAACCGTGAGCTAAAATCTAATATTTTTCCCGTGTATAATACACTATTTTTTTCTGTGACAGAAGGAAGGACGAATCAATATTGAGAAGATATTACATTATTTCGAAATGTGAAAATTATCAACGTGAAATTTCTAGTTTTTAACAGTAGGGACACCTGCGTTTTATAGACATCTTTATCATTCTTTTGAAGTAATCAAATATCTGATGTCACTTCTGTCAGGTCAATTCTGTGATTTGATTTTAAAAAATTGCGAATTCAGTAGTTGTTTAGTAATATACGAAACCGCGAAGTCGAATGGAAGATAAAAGGACTTGCAGTTCTTTCTCGGAGACGGTATTATTGACTCATTTTTCGGAACTATAGCACAACAAAAGCCATTAACAGAGTATATATATATGTGATATATATCCGGGAAAAAAGTACTCACTTTTTTCCCACGGGAAAAAAGTAATTTATGAAAAGTGACATTTTATAACCTGCCAACAGAGATGAAATGCCAAACTATTTTCCCGTCACAGAAAAAAAATAATTATATTCTTTTCAGGTCCATACAAATGCCATATTTGCTCGAAAGTTTCTCCAGATTATGTGAGATTCGTAATACACATGCGAATGCACAACAGATCAAAGAGATTTCCTTGTGAACTTTGTCAAAGGACTTTCAAGCTTGAATCCCGCAAGGACCAGCATATGGAAATAGTACACAAAAAATCGAAAGAAAACATGTGAGCAGGCTCATTCTTAATTACATAAAGGTTATAACCTACGGCACAATAATCACACCATGCTGTTTCATTAAAATCAAACTGAACATTATATGAAATCTATCGAAGAAATTATAAAGAATCAGTCATTGAAAAAAAATAATAAGGAGAAGTTCGAAAATATAAGTTGTAACAGTCTCAGGGGTTTGGTAGGTTGGCCGATAGAAACGCTGATGGTTCAGGAGACTATTTATTTGCTTCAAAAGTTCTCCGAAATCACGTGGTTGAACGAAAAGTCGAAAACCTAAATATTAAATTCGCTAATGGACAGGACAGTACAGGGTGGCCAACTAAGACTCCAGAGTTCGATTTCTCTGTTGTCTTGAGAGATACAGAAAAAAACAAGTATCAAAATTGAAGTAATAACCGAGCTTCACATTTCAAAATTTCTTGGAAATACACAGGGTGTTCCGTAAGGTCACAGCACATCAAAGCTATGTTTTTTTCATTGGAACACCCTATATTTTATTTCATTTTTGAATTCTCCCTGAAGATCTGATTTCAACGACCCATCATACTTAGGGTCTAGCAGTGCAAGTTACTGACATATAGGGTGTGTAAAATCGAGATTTTACAAGTTCAGGATTTTTTTCTGTCGAAACTGTTCATTATTCGTCAAAACGATTTACATGCCCCTATCTCAACTTTTCACTCACTATCAATTGGTGTTCAATTGAAATTGATACAAGGAGGTCAAGGGCACAGTATTTTAACTCTGTGTGAATGTGGATTTTGAGAAAGTACGTCATAGGAATGGTGGAGGAGCCATTTTCCTCTTTTATTTATTTTTTTCTGAAGTGAAATTTGATCATACGAAAAAAGTTATCTAATAGCATCTGTTTTGTGCATTTTATTGGCACCCGCGAGCAGCTGAGGGCATTACCAATCCAAAAGACGTCACACATTTTGCGGCCATATCTGATGTTTGAATTTGCTGGATCATCTTAGAGTCCTCAAAAATATTTCGTGTGATGAATTGATGAGAAAGAAACCTCAAAAAATATTTTTAGGTATTCCACAGCCACATACTTCGGGATATATTTGTTCTAGAAATGACTGTTTAGACTCATTTTACGTCGTATACTGAGAGTGCTCTATCAAATGTTTGCGAATGTATTCGTTTTTAGGTGCATGATCTGTTTGGAACAGTTCAGATCAAGAGAAGAATTGGAGGCGCATGTGGATCAACACGTGGAGAATATATATAAATGCGATATATGTGGAGTTACCTTCGAAAAAGATGACCAGCTGAATCATCACTTGGTGACGAATCATGTAGATACTGGAGCTAAATAGGCGTGAAGTCAACAACTCAATTTCCACTTTTGGCCTGGCGAAGTATTGTTATATTTTTTTAAATGTGTTAGTTTTGGTTTTAAATGTTTTCAGAACAAATTGGTAATACACCTGACATTTCTTCAAGTGTCTTTTTTTATTTCAAAATTACCGAAACGAAAGAATGTGTTACAGAACTACTTGTTCTAATTTACAAATTGAACACTGTCAAGGGTTGTCAACGAGTCTTTTAGTGACTAGTATGATAGGACAAAGACAAGTTGACAAAATCACATTTCCGTGTCTATTATTTTTTTGACAAGCAATTTCCAAAGAAAGTTTTTTTTGCAAATCTAACGATACTAATTTAGTTGCCATTGGATTGAAAATAAGAACTATAAATGTAATATTACTAAGCAAAATACTGTATCTTCATTTATTTCATTTATGATGATAATTTTTTGCAGTCAACTTTTTCGAGTCATCTTTGGAAAACGAAACACTCAGGTAATAGAGATGTATAGAAATTTAATTGGTGCGCATTGAAGGCCGTTTGCAAGTTTCTTGATGGCGCCTACTCTGATAAACCTTTGATAAACATACTTGGCGTGGGTAAATCTCGCTAAGCTCATCCTGGTTACAATCCATATTTACAGGAAACATATTACCGACCGATAAATATTTGGATACGTATATGATTTGGATCAGAGGAGTGAACTGATCCTGATCAAAGGATCGAAACGTCAATATGTCAAAAATATTCTTGAGCTGAAAAATCGTTAGGGACGTGTTCCGTAGTTTCTAAATTTTGTGTATAATACCTAATCCACCATAGAAAAAAGAAAATATCTCTGTTCTACAACAGTATTATTTCAGTGATTTGAAATATTACAGCGTGAACTGGTGTGAATAAATTCTAAGTTGAGTACCAGTTACCATATCTGCCTATTATGATTTTCGATATTGGTCTATTTCAATAGTTGATACATTCTTTGTTCTGGTTCTTCAAAGAAGAAGAAATTCATCAGATTTCATGCTTTAAATAGGTTCATGTCATGAAAGAAGTGAAGCTTATTAAAATCGGCTACAAAAAAGATTTCTTGCTTCTATTTCAAATTGAAATTTGAATGAAAATGTTGAGCACAGTATTTATTCGACCACAGAACAATGATGGAAATAGATTCATCCCTCACAGAACCAAGGTTTTGAACGATTTTCCGATTATGGCGCCTCTATCGCAAATACCTGAACCCCACGTCCAAAACTCGCTTGCAATTGTTCCATATCGAGAGTTAGTCTGACGAAACAATTGAAGAGTGAGCCCACCAGTTAAATTTCTATACATCTCTCAGGTAATGACTGACATAAGCCTTATGACCAAATAGTACAAATTTCGTCATTTTCGTTAAATTTCAGTTCAGTTTACATTCAAAATGATGTGAAATCAAAGTGAAAAGTGGATACCTGAGTGTTTTGTTTTCCAAAGACTCGAAAAATACGACTGCAAAATATTATGCATAGTGACAATCCATGGCACACTTGACAAACGTAAATTAATGAATATCCAGTATTTTCCAGTATTCATACCAAATGTATGATCGTATTTTCAATCGGAAATAAATGAGTATCGTTGGATTCGTCGAAAAAGCTTTTTTTTTTTTCGGAAAATGCTTGTCAAAAACCGGTTGCCATTATATTAATTTACCTGAAAACTGCGAAAAGTGATGCTTTTCCGCACGTTGCAGATGATAAACGACGATAAGCGGAGTTCCTGTTATTCCAATTCAAATTTTAATGAAGATTAAGAGAGCGTCAACATATGTTATTGCATAATAGTGTGTTCCACCAGAAAATGAGCAAGAAGCTTCTTAATATGTTTGCATACTTTATTCAACTTGTAAACAATAAGATACACAGTGGATTGTCCCTGTATGGAACAATTTCCGAAAATGAAGTTTTGCGCTCTATCTAAATCACTAATAATTATTGTATTCCTTACTTATAACCTACGACTATAAATACTTCTCTCCTATACAGCGTATCACTTTTTTTCCTCTTCTTCGGTGTGTGTATCCAGAATATGATTTTCTAGAAGCATTTTTCGTATGAAAGAAAGTGGACAGAGGGCACATTTAAATCGTTCAGTTCTGTTATGGCACAACATATGCATGTCCAAGTCGTTTTGTGTAATATATTTCCCCCAACAAATTTGGCAGCTGTCGAAGATAATTTCGGATTAGTAATTTCATTAAGCTAAGTTTGCAAAGATGCTTCCAGTGTCACCAAGGATTGTTAACTCAACATGATGGTCCATTCGGCCGTAACCAATCAAAAAATTGAGCGATGACGCGGATGACGTCACACCTACCATGATTTGTCGTTTTGTTAAGAATTCTCAACCTCAAAAATTGTTATCTCATTGAAATTAGAGTTCCTAAATGTACTTGACACTGCTGATTTTGACGTTTTTTGTATATCAGAGTACGGACACTATGACAAGCACACGGACGTACATAACATACAATTCAAAAGTTTGAGAAATTGGGAGAATTAGGAGAAAGATGCAGAATAGCAGAAACTTCCTAAATTGACTGACTCAAACTGATTTCACATTCCTGTTCAACCAAGAATTCTTCAGATCATCTTCGTATACGAACTCTTATAATAATTTTGTGAAAACATATAGTCACTTTGTGGAACTCTGATGTACCAGATATTGATGTATTTATATGGAAGAGTTGAATTTATTGTTCGTGTATCACTTCTTCAAAGTTGAAATCCCAAGTCTGAATGTGCATGTTCATGCATAGTTGAGAAGTGCTAGACGACTACATAGCTCCTAGTGGATTTTGAACCACTTCTTGGGTACCAGGATACAAGCAAGATATTATCAGAGCACAGAACAAGAACGCTTAACAAGTGCACCATTTATGTTAGGTATTGAAAATGATCTTCCGATAGCCGGGTTCAACCAACAATCCCCTTAGCAATGTGAACGGCGATCTATAGCATTGAGTATTCATGCCACATCTTTCGTTTATTTATCAATTACTCATAACTTACCACTCTCTTGTACTAATAATAGTATATTATTAAACGAGCGGTAATGTAGGTCATACCTCACGCAGATGAAGTTTGCAGCACGAGCCACAGGCGAGTGCTGTAATTCATCAAGTGAGTTATGACCATTACCGCAAGTTGAATACTATACTTTATCTACGACTATTACAATAAATCCTAAGTTATACAAGTACAGAGAAAGAACTTTATTGACAAATCTTGATATACTTAATACAAATTTTAGATTCAATCACTCGCATATTGTTTATTGAAAAAATTAACTGTGAAGTTAACAGTAAACTGAATATGTTGGAACTGAATTATGGAAGTTTATTGTTTCTTTTTGTGTTTGTTGCATATATGTTGTTGATGTACTAACTGATTGAGCTGTAATAGAACTGTATATTTTATTTGCAGTATCTGTCTTATTCTTTTCGGAATCATCAACGTACCCCTCAGCCACAGTAGTTGATCGCCAACCGCCATGGCGTTTCAGTGCCGTACGGCATCTATTAATAAAGTTGCCGACGAGCGGCGAAAACAATGCCCTGTATATATAAATTACAGTCTGGTAATTTCAGAAATGTGGCAATATCTTTCCCCATTGCTCAAAATTTATCAATGCCATTCTTTGTGAGTGATATTTTCCATATGGAAATTCAAATGATAATCCATCTTCACTATCTGAATTCATCAAAAAAATCACAATAATTGTATCAGCTCAGTTTGAAAACGTCAAAATTATTCAGTTGACATCACTCCCCTCAATAACAATAATGGACTGTTCCCTTTCGGCCAACTGGCTTGTACAGAAGTACTGAGCCATCTTGATTTTCGGTTCGTAAATAATTCCAAGAGCCTTTCTCGATGTAAGTATTATAGTGAGTTATAGTAGCGAGAGTTATTATAACTCACGCTGTTTGTTTATAGATACTATTAATTGTACAAAGGCAGTTGAATCATTGATATATTATTTAATAGGAGTAGATAAAAGTGTGTTTCTTGAAGTTTATCAGTTTTTACCCCATTCTGAACTTTTATGATAAACAAATATTCAACTGAACGAATTTATATACCTACATATAAGAGAATAATTTCATTGGAATACTATAAATGTATTTCGTTGATGTATATTATGTACCTACTAACTTGATATCGACCTCCATTGAGGTCCTTCAGCATTATCATTGAATATTTCGAGAAGACATAATTTTCTAATCAATTTATCGTACCATTTTCCCCATTCGAGGAGACGCTATGCCCTCTCATACAGAAATTAAAGACAGAGAGAGATATATGGATGTACTCTTCCCAGGACTTGTGGAGGATGGAAGATGCGAGGATTCTTTATCTAAGCGAAAAACATTCTTTTCCTTGTCTTGCAAAACATCAAAATCGTTTGTGGTTATGTTTGATTGTCACTGCTTGTCTAGTGTCCGTACTCTAATATACAAAAAACGTCAAAACAGCAGTGTCAAGAACATTTAGGAACTCTAATTGAAATAAATGCAGATATTTCACGGACGATGAAGAAAAATATTGTTTGGATTGCTTTACTTAGGAGCAAATCAGTCTTGAGTGTTAGAAAGATTTGATGTGAACTTGAACATCATTCAATTTCACACCAAAAAGGTACTCTTGGTAAAACTAGATACTGTGTTCCGTATTCGGAATATTTCGATTTGAAAATGATGAAGTGGTAACTGTTGCTGGTATAAACCTATGTATTAGAGTGAGTATTATGAAAAATTACCACCTATTTATTGAAAACCGAAAACAACAATACATTTCTGATGCAAAACTCATTGATTTAACAATGAATCACAAGAATAATATCGAAACAGATTTGACTAAGAACATGGATTACACAGTTTTGTTGTATCTTGAGCAGAAAGTCTATGCTACATAAGTAAATTCACGTCAAGAGTTGTGAGACATAATTGAACATCACTTAAATGACTTAACAGCTGATCCTCAACTGTTCAGAAGAATAATACATTCTTAAAATAAGAATATAGAATCGTGTATTCCGCGATACGTAGGACATTTTGAACACTTACGCTAACTGATTCAATATTTCATGTTTCTAGTCAAGTATCTCTTAATTTTTTACTTATGATTCTTTGTTCCATCAATAACTTCAGCACAAGAATAATTTTATTGTTTTTGAACTGGAATAAATTTGTAATTGAACTCGATAAAATTCATTTTATACCAGCATCATTATTTTCAAATCGAAATATTCCGAAAACGGAACACAGTATCGAGTTTCACCAGGAGTACCTTTTTGGTGTAAAATTGAATGATGTTCAAGTTCATATCATATTTGTATTGAAAAATCTAACCTCAAAAAAGAAATCTGAAATATTGTATGGTTTTCCACATAGAGACCGTGTCGTTTACGATGCTTCACCCTGTATAGGTACATTTGCCTTCCATCAGGGGTGATGCACGCATGCTCATATTCCGCAAATGTACCGATATGTCGGCGCCCCGATTAATAGACACGACCCTAAAAAAACTTGAATAAATTGTACTCACATGAACTTTTTTTCAGGATTGGCAATGTGTGACTTCTCATGGCAAAACTTAGTCCTTAGACGCTCAAATCCAAGTCCACAAAAACTGCACTTGAATTTACGTAAATTCGCGTGTGTTTTCAAATGTTTCTGGAAGTTGACTCTATCATCAATTTTAAAGTCACAAAAGTCGCAAAAGAACACACCCGTTTCTGAAACAACAAAGAATTAAATTCAAGCAATGTTTATATCAGACATTCAGTACTTATTCTGGTATTGGTAACTTGCTTATGTTTTTTTTCTTTGTGCCTTTTCAGGTAGTCCTTTCTTTTAAAGGCCATTCCACAATGGCATTTGAATGGCTGGTCATCCAAGTGTCGAACCCTGAAAATTCAAAAGACACAATAAGGTCAAAGCAGTCAGGCCTAGAGTCCCTGTATATACCTTAGACAAGAGTCCGGACACAAAACTGACAGCCGTTGGGGTTTTTAATATTTTGTTTCATTTGGTTTGCCCACCTGACAATGTGACGAAACACCATAGTCGTCCCGCCCGCTTATTTAATTATTTCGAATTTCTGTCACAGTCACTTTGGAATTTTATGACTGCCAAAATTTAGCATAGGATCATTTTGATAGAGATTCTGATGGATTTCAAATTGAAAGAGAGTCTGCTGTGCCGTCAATTTATAAAAAAGAGCCGTTCAAAGAAAATAGTTCCGTCGTCATCGTATTTGGAATTACTGAATGATGAAAATGAGAATGAGATGATGCGGAAAGAAATTGAGAGTTTGAAATCAAAACTAGAAGATTTAGAGAAATTGTATGTCATCAGTCCACGGTGTTTTTAATTAATAGACTGCAGGAAAAGGTGGGAAATCGACACAATTAAAATTATATTGAAACAATTATATATCTTCTATTTTTTTATATCCCAACAGAAAAGAACTATATTTCCTTGGCTATATGTGATACCACGTGAAACACTCAAGTTATCTTTCTTATATCTAATGAAGTGAAGAAATATCTGATGACGAAAATTTGCGATAGCCATCACAGGAATTGATTATGAAAATTATCGATTCGAAATTTAAACACCCTGTTGTTCATTATTTGAAAATCTAATAGTTATTCTAGTTAAAATAGCCCGATTTCTCACTTCTACCTACGGCTATGAACGGTTTGACAAATAATCTAACCCTCAAAATTGTTTCTGACAATCATTGATACTGGGGGAATTGAGAAGACAGAGCTCGATATATATGTCTTACTCCTTTATTCAATCATCAATGCATTTTTTGAAAACAGAAAAGGACAGAAGTATAGCTGTGTCCGGACTATTGTCTAAGGTATATACAGGGACTCTAATCAGGCCCATTTTTACCATATGAATCTGAAATGCAATGACTAGTGAAAATGTTCCGTTGACGAATATCCAAACGGAAGCAGATTCGTTCCCGAAACGTCCAAAGCTAAGTGAAAATTTTATATATTTTCTGTATACCTTTATTTCTCTTCTTCAAACCTTTTTCAATACAAATTGTCACTGACAAGCTAGTGAATTTTTTTAAGGCTCTCTAATAGGAGAATAACAAATGAGTAAACTCTATTCAACAGAGTACGTATTCAAACGCACCCCTGACGACATTTAGCAACATTACCTGAAATGCATATTCAACAAACACTTCGATCCAAATGTTTTTGCACACTCGTGGCACTTATGGTCCTTTTTCTTCAAGTGAACAAGATTTACGTGCTCCTCCAGGCCCCCCTTGAATCGGAACTTCAATTCGCACAACTTGCAAGGTAAACGTTTAGGTGGTAATTCAGTTTTTTTAGAAAGTTCGACCATAAGTTCATGCATGGACGTGTGAACTGTGAGCTCCTGTTCTCTTTCAAACCCTCTGCAACATACTATACAAGAGTATGGCGCTGGATGGGGATTTTTGTGCAGATTCATTTCTTCGGCCGATGGAAAACTGAAAAAGATGATACATAATAATAAATTTTGAGTTTTTGGAGTGAAAATAGTAGATTGTTTTATTAGGATCAGAAGTGACATTTTGTTTGACAAGCGAATTTTGCATTTGCGAGGCAGAGCGTCTAGAAGAAGTAGAAGAAATATGCTTTATTGTCCAAAGAAGTTATTCTCATTGATAAAACTTGTTACTTAGGGATAACCTTAAGTCTTAAAATGAACAAGAGTTGAAAAAACAATAGCAACATCAACAGGTAAGAATCTGCAAGCGACGTAATCTGTTTAAAAAAGGAATATAATCTACATAGAAGGTAAACTTGCTCTTTAGGTGAGAGATTTGACTATCAAACTTGAGCTTAGTGTCAATTTGCAATCCGAGAAATTTTGCTTCACATCTATTTTCTATGAAATTATTCCCTATGAAATTATTCCCTAGGGGCAGCTCATTGATTTCACATCTGAAACCTATGACGTTTGTTTTTGACACATTGAGAGATAGTTGGTTTGAATCGCACCATTTTTTGATCTTTTCAATGGCCTCACAAATTAACAAATTCAGATCAGTAATGTCTAGCGAATCCGAGCGATAGCAAAATTTGCCAGTCAAACAAAGTATCACTTTTGATCCGAATGAAACACGCTATTCTTTCTGTAACCGAAAGAATCAACTAAAATAAATATGTGAAATAACCACCAATGTGACTTGACAGATTATTATACCTTTATTATAACAATATACATAGGTAAGTAGATAGAAGCAACACCTCAGACTACTTTACATTAGAATATTGTTGTGTGATGACTTTACTTTGTTACAATTAGTGTTGACTTGCATCATCAGATAGGTACTACAGGCACGAATTCAATAATATACCCGAAGCTTGGATGCCGTGCCATATGTATGCAATGCAACAAATTATCGGTGTCGTGGACGCACCACAAATGAAGGTTGTCAAGGTCATTTTGAAGAATTTGACTGTCTAAAAACTAAGAAGCTTTCACTTCTGAATACATCGAAAATGTCATTTATAAAAAGATTGAATAGTAAGGGTCCACAGTGAGAGCCCTGAGGGACACCTGACGTTACCAGAATATCGTTAGATATATATAGTTATTGATTTGAACTCTTTGAGAGCGGCCACTGAGGAAACGACGTAGCCATTTCACGATATTATCCGCAAAACCAAAAGAACGAAGTTTCTCTGATACAATTTTGTGGTCAACTCTGTCAAATGCCTTGGAGAAGTCCGTATAAATTGCGCCAACTTGTTCGCCTCTCTCCAAGGCATCCAACAGGAAACCCTGGTAGGTCAGCAGATTGGTTACTGTGGATCTCCCCGAAGAAAAACCATACTGCTGAGGTATTAAAATGTTTTCGCAAGACCATGCTAATTTGGCAGTAGCAAGTTTGTCTAATAATTTTGGTAAAGTGGACTGTAAACAAATTCCTCTGTAGTTTTTGATGAATTCACGATCACCAGATTTAAATATTGGGGTGACAAAGCTGTTTTTCCAGAATTCAGGAAAACTACATGAATCCAAAGACAAGTTGAAGAGGTATTGAATGGGATAGGCTAATGTACAATTACACAATTTCACAATTTCAATAGTACTATTTTACTACTAATAGAGGAAGGTTCGGTCTCCGAGCAGGACCAAAAAAAGCTCTTAATGGCCCAGAACCCTTCTGTGGTATTGCGAAAGCTATACAAAAGACTAGTATTAAATCATGGATGCAAACCAAATCTCAAGACTGGTGGAACAACTCGCCAGGAATGAGACAGGCTAAAGAGTTTATTAAAAAACCTTCGTCAACATTCACAGAATATCTACTAAGCCAGAAACGAAGTTCAACTAGAATACTAGTGTGACTTCTCACAGGGCATTGTAGGCTCAACAAACACATGAGTACGATAGATCTGACTGAAGAACTGCTGTGCAGGTTCGGTCAAGACGAGGAAGAAACAGCAGTACACATACTTTGCCACTGTGAGGGCTTGTCAAGACTAAGGTTCCTTACGCTGGGTGAGGAAAAACCAGGAGCCCAGAGATACACAGGAGATCTGAAAGCTAGCCTATGGAGTCTCATAGAGAAGGCGGGGCTAGCCGAAGAATTCTAATCGATTTTGAGGACAGACACAATAGATCTGAAAAGGTCGCAGTGTGGAGGCAGATAGCCCGAAGGCCCCATTCCAAATCTAATCTAAGGTTCGGTCTCTTGTTATCCTTACATGTACTGTATTAATGACTTTCGCTTATTACTTACATTTCTCTACATAGGTTACAAGGAACTCCGTGGGAGTTTCTATGCTCCACCAATTCTTTCAATCCCTCGAACCCCCTTTTACACTTGTCGCAAGAATAATCGTAATTTGAAGGATATAAGATGCTATGCACATGATGCATATGATCTTTAATGCCTTTCTTCGACCTATAGCAGATCTGACATTCAGGACATAATATATATTTCCGGTCTTCATTTGGAGTTTCATCAACGGTCGATGATGAAAGCCTATCGCCTTCGCTTTCTGATAAGATGTCCAATTTTTTGATTTTAGGGATAATTGAAATATTCAGTGCTTCAATTTCATCTGAAAATTCAACCAGGTAGTTATCTTCATGGTCTGATGAGACTCCAGTTTTGTTGTTTTCCTCTAAACCAGATTCATTCGATTGTAATACAATTAGTGAATTAATAATCTTAGGTTTATCTTCAATACCGATCACCGAACTATTTTCTTTCTCTATTTGTTGTATCGCTGGTTCACTCTGACTCATTTTTTCTATATTGGTATTATTTATTGTCCCCTTTTTTCTTCCATAAGTTTGCAATGGACGCAGAGGCTGAACTGAAATAGTTATTTGTCATTCATAAGGTAAATATATTAATTTTTGAGAATATCAGTGTTTGGGATCACACGTTAAAAGGTAAGGCCCCCGTCATTCCTTGCTCGCACAAGACTTTCGAAGATTTTTGAGGGTTGCTCGTAAGGGGGCAACCGAATGACGGATAGAACAAATTTTAGAACAAATCAAATTTTAGAACAAATCACAACAGTCTATTTCAGCTAGGAATAAAGTATATGATGCTCAATTCCAGTTTGCCAATTTTCGAGTAATAGAAGTGTTTGATGATGAAACAATCAATTCCGTTAATTCAAAAGTAACGCTCAACTTGTTGATAGTAAGTCATGAATTTTAAAAATGTTGTGTAGATGACTAATAGCATTTCTCTGTTCTTAAACTTGATTTTTGCATGAGCAGAATAGTTATTAATACACCAAGGTAGTAAAGATAATCATTATTACCCAGGGACCAAGGTTATATTCCGAGGCTTCAGCCGATATACGGTCCCATGGTAATATCATTCTTCATGCACTTCAAGGATTTAAAGGGTACTGAACTAGTAGTTATTACTTCATAAAATGACGAAAACTACGACCTTGGTAGAGAAAACATACTTTACGCCTTGAAAAGGATAAAATAATGGTAGATTCTACTATCGTGGTTCTACTTATGGCTACTGGTGGAAAAATATATTTTTTCTGTGACGGGAAAAAAGTTTGGCAATTCATCTCTGTTGGCAGGTTATGAAATGTCACTTTTCATAAATTACTTTTTTTTTCCGTGGGAAAAAAGTGAGTACTTTTTTCCCGGATATATATCACATATATATACACTGTTGATGCCTTTTGTTGTGCTATAGTTTCGAAAAATGAGTCAATAATACCGTCTCCGAAAAAGAACTGCAAGTCCATTTATCTTCCATTCGACTTCGCGGTTATGTATATTACTAAACAACCACTAAATTCTCAATTTTTTGAAATCAAATCACAGAATTAGACTGACAAAAGTGACATAAGATATTTGATTACTTCAAAAGAATGATAAAGATGCCTACAGCGCAGGTGTCTCTACTGTTGAAAACTTAAAATTTCACATCGATAATTTTCAGATTTCAAAATAATGTGATATCTTCTCAATATTGATTCGATTTTAGCTCACGGTTTTTTGTCTCCCTCCGCTACGCGTCAAAACAACCTGGAGTTAAAATCTACAACTTTTTTTCCCTGTATAATAAATAACTATCGAAATCGGTCCACATGAACTGTAGAGAAATTAGTAGGTTTAAAGCTTTAAATTCAAGACAGTTGAATTGTTGGCTGAATAAATGTCAGATTGGGCCATCCTATATAAAGATACTGTTAAACATCCTTGGTGTTCACATACCTTCTGAATTATGTTCAATGTCTTGACAACTTCTGTTGGATTTGGACATTTCATTTGATTCCTCTGAAGCAGCACCAGCAATTATTTTTTCATCCTCCAATGAATGACTCTGTTTGGGGATTTGATTTTGTGATTCATCTGAAACTGAAAACTAACACATACGACACTTTCAGCAGATGAAATGGATCGGTATGTTCATTTTCCAACAACTTTGGTATACATATATTGTTTTTTATGAAAATACACACCATCATAATATCCTAGTCGTGTTATCCTGATTTATGCAGCAGATTTTTAACTAGAATGAGCAGCATGAGTTGTATGAATTCAACTTCATTCCAACTTGACAATATGCTCACAGAATAGTTTCTAAATATTCTTAAAGAATATATTCCGAATAACCACTGAATATTCCTAGACATGCCTCGGGAACATCCAAGGAATATTCCACTTATATTCCATAATAATATGAAAGGCATATTCTCAGAATATCCAAGTTGGAATGTTCAGGGAATATAGAGGTATGAATATTTCAGGAGTATTACCAACTAAATATACTGTGTTGGATATTCATGGAATATTCCATACTGGCCTTCATCAGAAAGTCAGGGAGATTCGTAAAGGAAATCTAGGTGAAGGGAGCCGTAGATATGTGGAGAGCAGGGATTAGCAAAAAGGGCCCATCGGGGCCTACTTGCTTGGCTACAGCCCCCCCCACCTACTACTTCTACTACTACTTGAACGAATAGCTCTGCTATGAATTTTTCATGCGCAGATATTGAATCCTGCCTCTTGTTAGGTTTTCTGTACTTGTATGTAACCTTTCAATAAAAGCATTTATTATTATTATTATTATTAATTGTATAATGTTTTTGTTCAACTTGAAATACCCTGTTTTTATACTTACAATGTGACTGTGCACTTCTTATATTTATATTTGCTTGATGTTATTTATTTTTATTGTTTTCATCCTATTTTGTCTCAGGTAATTTTACAAATTGACTCTGTATATTTCATATTCATTTACTTTACCACATTCAAACTTTGTCAATGAGAATACATCGTCGGACAATAAAGTATATTATTATCATTATTAAACGTTATCCTACAACACACCCTTTCCGGCATTTAAAAATAAATACGAAAAGTGTTGTTGACTTGATTGGATTAGTACTTTCAAATTAAGAAATACATTTTTGTCTAGAACAGGCCCATTGTAGGATTGTATTGTCGGTTTCTTAGTTTTCTGTTGAGGGTACTAACAGGTACCTACTTTCTGCTCTATCATGGCTGTGTTACAATTTGAATATACTAAACAAAAATAGGACACCATATAGTTTTATTCAACTTATTTGTTTAATAAAAATCAGTACTGAAACATCTTCATTCAATAATAGCACATTCTGATTTTATATCCTTACTTATTTCATCAGTATTTTGTTGCGACACAATGACTATTACTGCAGTTGACGATTCTGAATCTCCTTCCACTGGACTCTTTATTTCCGTCTCTACACTTTTCTTTTTTCTTTCATAAGTTCGAATAGTCCCTTTTGAAGGGTTATAGAGTACTTGTAGTTCTGGAGATGTATCTGAAACAAAATCATCCATTTTCAAAATGGATTTCAGGAGAAATCACTTAATGTGTCAATAACTTCAAATTTCTGAGTTCGTTGAGTTCAAAGATTTGATTTATTTGTTTATTGTTTTACTAAATAATACATTGTTTACAATCATCAATACGAATGAAATTGAATAAAGAATATCAACACCTACACTTCATCACATGACTGAAACGATAAAAAAAAAATGTAATGCCAAAATACAGCAATGGGTCTTACCACGGTATAAGAATGAAAAAAACAAATGCTGCGATTCAAAAAGGTGCAAGGGCAGTATGTGCCACGCGGTTTTTGTGTGCGAACCCCCGCACGGACCTCATTGTGCAGCTTGCCTTCCGTTTAAGGTTCAATACAATAATGCTTACTGCAGTCGAATTCCCGATTGAAATCGGATTCCCGCGTGGATTAATGCATTTCAGGACACCCAAAGAAATTGGGGAAAACTCAGAATACTGTCACTACTTAGTGCGTTGCCTAGTGATGATATTGTTATTTTCTCTGACGTGGCACATTCTCGCCTCACAGAATGTGTCAATTAACAGAATCATTGGAGTGATACGAACCACAGAGAAGATTAGCACTGCCGCTGCATTCCAGCAGGATGCCAGTATGTTTTTTTATGTTCTGGTTCCCATGAAAAGGGATATCCTGTAATGTTCAGAGAACATCGTGAGAACCAAAGGAAGTAAGGTAGGAATTGGTGTTCTGCTCAAATTTCTGGAGGTTATATGCCTCGGGGAGCACCTCCCTTTGCAAAGAGTTCCAGAGTCTCGCTGTTCGTTGGATGAACGAGTCTTTTTGGAAAGAGATGTTCTGCAGGTCTCCAAAGTGACCACGAAGGGGTGCGAAGCCTCGACTCGACGGGTTAATCTCGCGGGGACTGCCAATGGAGGAACAATTGTGATATTTCAGAAGAGCATTGTCCATGAAAATATCTATAAAATAGGGCCAGATCGCCAACCTTTCTACGGTGTTCCAGAGAAGTGAGTGAGTTTGTGAGCGAGGCATCACCCGCGAGACGAATTGCCCTTTTTTGGACAGAATCCAACAGTTTCAGGGTATGTTCGGGTGCTGCACTCCAAATATGGGAACAGTTGTTGTGCAATTTCATGAATCGGGATCATCCGCCATTATTTTTTTAAAGAAAACGATCGAGCGGGTACAGCCACCTTTATGCGTTAACTGACCATGACCTACAATTTGCAGTGCCTCAATAGGCTACTGAACTGGTATTGAATTTCTCCCAACCAACAAATACACCATGCTGTTATAGTCAAAGAGCTCATGAACCTTTTATATGTATAACAGTTTGTCTACACGGCTAGAAATTTGTATAGTTATGAACCACACCTGGCAGGCCTCACCCATGAAATATGAAATTTCATTATGTTATTCAGACATAAAAGAATGACAAAAAATTTACAGGCGACCGGACATTTCGATTCGATAATAAAATCATATGGATAGATGCATTGTTGCTGATACAGCATTTCTGGTTCGAAATCAAAGTTACATATTTGAAGATCTCACATGGATATTTTGTTTCCACTAAGGCGATAATTCTGATCCACCCCTTGAAAGTGGTAGTTTATTCTTGTTGTTTTTCATAGACCCTTACTGACCGAGTATTTCTGGATGGAATTTTTGCATCACATTACATATTTCAACATTTCATATGGATATTCAGTTGCCACCAACTCCAAATGGAATATTCAATTTAGATGTAGTTTTATTCAAGGACAGAACTTTTTGATAACTTGATTACAATTGGCGACTTGACAATTTTGATTCATGCATAGGAATGGAAGATTATCTGAGATAGATAGAAAAAGAGTATAATAACTGACATAACCATATGTCCGACGGATCCCAGAACATAGTCAAATGGCGGCCATGACAGCATGTTTGAAATGAGCTCTGAATTTCAACACATTGTCACGTTATTTTAATCAAAAACGCGTAAGAAGTATTGCAAGAATTTTAATTATTGTGATTAAGTGGATAATTTAATGCATATTATTCACCAACAATCCAGTAGCCTAGATTCTTTCCACATAGTAGGAGAGCAATGAAGCATGCGTTATCAATATTTATAGCCAGACAACTGAGTGTCTCACTTCTTGAGTCGCGATTTTTATAAAGTCATCAAAAACAACTATTGAGTTCGAATAAACTTAAATGAAAAGGAGAGTACAGGTACTGGTAGATCTTGTTTCATTCAACTATTCACATGGGCTATGACTACCAGATATATTTTGATTTATTCTGATATCAGTATAAACTTTTCTTGCTTGTCATTTTTTAATATCCCTATTTCAATTCACCTCATTAATTAGGTACTTACCCCTTTTATGTGACACTTCTACGGTATGTTTGCTAGTGAGTTTCTTTTGTTTAATTGGCTTCCGAGATTCATCTGAAAATGAGATTTCATGTGAATATTATTAGAGGGACGTATTGCTAACAATCCAAGGGATCTTTACTTATATCAATAATACAGAATATTCCGTGTTTAATCAAATTTTATATGTTCTAGGAATTTGCTTCTTTGAAGTTCACTCAATCTTATCAATGAGATGACACATAACACATGTAATCGTAATCGGTATAATACATGGCGTTTTTTTTTTCAAACGTAACACATTTCCTCTTGGCCTGTTTAACTAAATTATAAACCAAACAGAGCAAAAAACATATCATTTTATTAATAAATATTATTCGTATCGGTATACTTTTTTAATGCCATGCGCTGATAAGGGCGGATAGCCCGAAACCGGCTGCAGGTGGTTAGGCTTAAGACGTCACCTGACTTCAATTCAAGCAAAGCTCAGCATTCAAGAAAGGAACAAGTACAATTCGTTCATACGAATAGTTGCACAGATTACGGGAGGATGTAATATCGATATTTTGCATTAGCCAACGAAGTTATTTCAGGCCCATACAACATGGAACCAAAATTTCAAATTACTATACCCCTCTAATTTCCGCACGAAAAACTGACTATTTCCGAAGGGAAGTACTTTTCGTCCGCAAACACCAACTTTTCGTCCGCTGCAGGGTTGCCAGTTTTACTGAATTTTCAGTAGATCTTCTGATTTAAATATAGAACTCCTGAAACATTCCATAACCTACTGAAAAATATTTCGACGCTTATTTATTATTATAATTACCTATATTATTATCAATAAGTTAATCACATACACTTATAAATTGCATGATATTTCTGCAGGCTCTGTTTGAATTAATTTTACAAAATAAGTAATAAATTTACACATTGTTATACTGATGATATGTATAAACCAAAAGGACATTATTTTTGAGTATTTTTAAATTGAAAATTAGGTGTATGTTCATTTTTTTTTATGAGAATGTATGTTCTATTTGTTTCTATTTTGTTGGAAATAGATTAATTTTCTGTTTACTAAAAGTAAGTACATAATGTTTTGACGTCATAGGTTTATTTCATTATCCTTCCTTGGAATTCGTATAGCATAAAATAGATCTGAATTTTTGACAAGGTATTTACTGACGAGATAAAAATCGAACTGGCAACTCTGGTCCGCGCGGAGAGTGAGTTGACAACAACTGTCATTTTCTGTTGTTAAATTAATTATTCACGAAATCCGATAGAAGTGGATATAAGTGTTTGAGGTCGACGAAAAAATTTAATGTGCACCTCGGCGAAAAATTGCTAGCTTCGGTTGAGGCCTCGGCTATCAATTTGCCGACTCGACTATTACAGACAGATATTCATACTCGGTACATTAATAACTATTTCAAATTGAAATAAGAGTAAAACTTTATCCATACCTGCCGCGCCTGTTTCTTCTATTGGTTCCACTTTGTAATCAACGTCAACGTCTTTTCGTTTCCTACCCCTTTTTGGTGTTGCCGTTTCCAAATCATCTGCTAAAATAAAATAGAATTTCAGGGTTCATAAAAACTGCAGCAATTTGAATTGCTCTGTTATGAAGTAGTGTCATTTTGTATTGCAGGAAATGCCTTCAGGCCTATTTTCATTTTGACAATTCGTATTGCTGGTGCAATTCTAGTGATAAAATGGTGGATTTTCGGTGGTTCATGCATTACTTGGCCATCATTTGATGCGAATCGAATTTTGAAAATTGTTCTCATCATTTTGTCTACTCAACACAAAAAGGCGTTGCAAGCCGGTTATTCCAATTCAGTGTAAAACAGCCTGTATATTATTATTGCCGGACATATGAAATGCAGCAATCAATTGCACACAACGAAATCAAAAACTGTAAAGCAGGTGTGAAAAATTGTTTTTCTGTGAATATAATTATGGCTGAATCAATCTCTCACAACTGACAAATAAAGAATTGTAACCATATTTTCAAATAGCCGATAAGTCGGGATGAAAATGTTTATAAGGACTGTGACGGGTGTCACAAACAGTCTGCAAGAAGGAGAACAGTGCTGCTTGACTAGCCACGGTAATTTTTGTCAAAACGGATTCAAAATTCTATATCCGGCAATGATTTACTACATCTTCCAAACCAACCCATTTTACCTTTTTCCCCGTCGAAATTTTCTATTAGATAAGCATCAATTTCTTCATCTTTTGCACAGTCGTCAAGTTTTCTTTGTGTCCTGTTTCGGGTACTACTTCTTACTGCCCTTGGTGTTTTTGTAACGTCAATGTCTGGAGTGTCTTCTGAAAATGTAAGTACCCATTAAAAAAAAGTCTTAACTTGAATCACGTTTTGACCCGACCTCAACATGAGAAGTTGTAACCTATGGAAATGGGCTAATGAACTGAACTTTTTGTTACCATTTCCCATTCTTAATCTCCACACTAATGCTCTCAATCTTATTAATGGTTTTAAGGTCTCAAAACCACAATGAAATTACAGTCTCATTCAAAAGGTATTTAGGCATATATCCAAAATTTGAATCTACCACCAATTGTGGCAACACAGGCAACATCTGCCATGCCGAAATTATTTTGTATCTCGTATCTCCTCTCGTTGCCGAGATCCTCATGATGTGCAACCTTATCTTGTCACACTGTACATGTATTACTTGCATATGACAATTTCAAAAAATCTCGACTATAATTATTTGCGACTAGGCAACGTGTTCGCCGAGTTTGACCGACTTTCGCCAGGTTGACGTAGCAAATATCAACAACTGACGTCATCAACATCGATATCGGTTGGTGAATCAGGCCGTAATTCTCGACAACTTCAAACTGCGCAATGGCTCATTTACAATAGGTCGCGTGCACGATGACTGACTCTGGATGTAAAATATTGAAACACAACCTCACTCATTTTATTTGTTGACAGCTGAATCAAAGTATTGAAATACTTTTTCACAATATTTTGTCATACGAATCGTGTTTTTTGCGCTATTCATTAATTCAAGCATGCCCACTCATCATACTGTTGTACATACAATGCACAAAAAATGCAGCGAGAGACGAAGGAATATGGTTTTTCAGGTAAATAGTAATCTCACATAGTTTTCATTATGAAAATTTGTCATTTCATATCAAAATTCCTACTGCCACTCCTGCAATAAAAGCTAATACTGGTAATAGATTGAAAATGTCTACAACACACACGATCATATTTCGTCAGCGTGTCAGACCAATCTTCTTGCATCATTTTAGAAATCTCACGAGTATTTCTATTAGCTCCTATGGCAGAAGGAATTCCGATGAGAAATCAGAGAAATTACCAAATTTCAAAAATGAAAACTATATGTGACTGACTATAGTAGGTACTTACTTTTAAATCATAATGTACCAACCGGATTCCTTCGTCTCCTGCTGCAGTTTTTGTGCATTGTACAACAGCACAATGTGATGGCGTGAACGAATTAGCGAATAGTCGAAAAATACGATTTGTATGCCAAAATAATTGTGAAAAACTATTTCAATCACTAGTAAACAAATAAGAAAAGTGAGGTTGTGTTCAATGCACGCAACCCATTAAACAACATTCAAAAATATTTTGAGATCTATAACCACACAGTGTAATTATTGAATGTGAAAAACCAATATCAGTTCAGTAGTCCATTACTATAGAAGGATATAACAGAGTTGTTGCTAATAAAACACTAAAATAATTGGAGGGTATCTCATAAAAAATGTTGAAAAACCTCATGACGTCATATTCAATTGAAATGGGATAAAAACGGCAATTCAAAAAACATGTTGGCAGTCATTCATTCAAATTATATACCTGCTGGTTTTTTGCTCAACTTCTTCCTGTTAACTTGTTTTTCTTCATGATTTTCATTTAAAATTGTGTCCTGATTATTCTTTGGATGCCTGGATGCATTTTCTTCTCTTGTTGAATTTGTAGGTACTTTTGTCTTCAATATAACGTTTATTTTCATTTTCTTCACAGGAGTTGTTGGAATGATATCAATGTTTTTATCTTCTGTGGTTTTATCGGATGAATCAATTTTTGATAGATTACATTTTACCTGTGTTTCAATTGCAGAAGTTGGTGGAATTTGTTCGTCATGCTTATTTTCCATGGAACTTTCTGATTCAGCCTTTGGTAGTGGATGGCTTTTCTCCGATATATTTTGTGAATTTGGTGAAATTTGGTCTGCATTATTTTTCATGGATTCTTCAGATGGATCCATTTTTAATAGACAGCTCTTCCCTACAATATTTTTTCTTGTGCATTCTCCGATCTGTAATGGATGGTTTTTATCCGATATATTTTGTAAATTTGGTGGAATTTGATCTGCATTATTTTCCATAGATTCTTTGGATGGGTCCATTTTTAATAGATAGCTCTTCCCTACAATATATTTTCCTGTGGATTTTCCGGTCCGTAATGGATGGCTATTCTCTGATATCTTTTGTAAATTTGGTGGAAGTTGATCTGGATTATTTTCTCTGGATACTTCGGATGAATCCATTTTTGGTGCACAGCTCTTCCCTACAATATTTTCTTCTGTGGATTCTCCGATCTCCAATTGTTTCACAGAATTTGGTGGTGATGTTTTTTGTTTACAATCTGAATCGGTGTCCTCGTCTTCGGTTTGCTCTAACTCTTCAAGATCATAAACTATTTGACCATCTAGTATTTTTGTTTCTAACTCGAGGCAATTATCAATGAACTCGATACATTTACATAAGCACCTCACACATTTGTTACAAACGTACATATCATCAGTAATAGTTTGAGCCTGAAAACCCAAAATATATAGATAACTGCCACCTAGAGTTCCAGAGTACGGACACTAGAGAAACAGTGACAGTAAGTCATAACCACAAATGATTTTAAAACATATCAAATGTTTTGCCTAACTCAGACATGAATATGTTTTTCTCTTAGATAAAGACTTCTCGTAATTTCCTTTCTTCATAAAGGGTGTATCTAAATAACATCGAAAAGATTCAAGATTCCTTGTGATATTTCATCAAATGAAGTTCATGTTCATATAAACATGTGTCCTAACTTTCTTCGTTTTCGAGATACAGGGTATCAATATTTCCATGAAAAATCTTTTGTCTATTGATTTCTCAATTGTCTTTCTATCAATTTCAATAAAACGTTGTGGTTTTGTTAATAGTGAAATGGAGCTTCTTCTAGGTGAAATTAGATTCGAAATAGTATTTCCAGTGGCGTCACAGTGGGTAAATTTATCGATATTCATGGTGAATGTCATTGTACACCACCGGTTTTTCCGAGTTTCATATTTTTATTAGATTGAACTATTGAAATAACAACTTTTTTTATCCTCCTCGATTTGGCTCCAAAGTTTAATGTAGGTGTTTTCAAGACTTACATTGAGATTACTCAATAACCAAAATTGGAATCATTCTGAAATTTTGGGGCTTTCTCAGTCTCCATCCATACTGAATTTTGGCACCATGAAAGCTTATACAGGGGGGTTATGAATAAAAACAATTAACACTTCCAATTTCAACATCCTGTATCTCAAGAACGGAGCAAGTTAGGACACATGTTTATGTGAACTTTATTTGCTAGAATGTCATAAAGAAATACCCCTTGAATTTTTTCGATGTTATTTAGATACACCCTGTATGTTCAGGGAAGAGTAGATCCATATATCTTTTTTTGTCTTTAATTTCTGAATGAGTGAATATCGTCTCCTCGAGTGGGAAAGAGGATAAACTGAAAGGTAGGTAACTAGGTACCTACAGTTGAATGATTTTTGTAGTGCAAAAGTTCAGAATGAGGTAAACATTTATAAAATGCAACCGATGATATTTTTATTTCATATGGATTATTTTCCCCTGTATAAGATATAGCAACAATAACGGGATATAATATATTAATATAAAGAAATAGAATGATCGATTCATGATTAACAGACTTTAGCGCTCGAATCACTACAGTTTCTTTTTTCATTTTTGTTTTAAAAACCGATATTCAGCCTGTTTATAAATTGTAGGTTTGGCTTTTCCTCCCAATAAAATTCTGTTATTTATTATTAAATCTCCTCTGTCTGAAGTTTACCTAATTGAAATGTGATAGATATCATTCTATAATATACCAAAAAAAATTAATATTTCGCAAATTTTATTGGCTGAACCTATATTCAATGGTGGGCACTTCATGTTTACTCTACATTTCTTTAACAGTGTTTCATTTCATAGAAAATCGGATGAAGTAAATCAATTTCCAGTATTTTCAGAGTTAGAAATAGCACAATGGATATGCATATTATCAAAAGGCGAGTGGACCTTTCAATTTCATACTCTTTTAGAATTTTTCAGTCGATTTCAAGGTGCTAAAATCATCAATGATGTCACGGTAATTTTCAAACGGCTAGAAATTTACCACGAGTATAAACTGACGTTTCGATTCCGTAAGTGAGGCAAACCATAGCAGAGTTGCCATATGTTGAAATACGATTGGGAATTTATGTATTGGTAATCCTAATTATCAATAAAAACCAATTGTCTCAAAATGTTCCTTCATGTGTTGTGGATTATTGCTTATAATACATTTGTGTAGATAATAATTATTATCTTAATTGACACTAGAGGACGTTTGAACCGGTGAACGTGACAACACAGCGCACGAATTGTGGGCGGTGTCTTGTTAATTCTCAGCATTCAGCACATTGTTGCCAAGTCTCCAACATTTACATGATGATGATGGTTGCTCAGAAAGTCAAGAATGAACTAAAATATTATGGCTTCCTTCTATAATGTTTTATCTCGTGTTTTATTCAACGACAGGACTCTAGTATCTTTTTGATGACTTGATTATAATTGGTGACTTGACAACCTTGCTTCATGAGTGGAAAAGGAAGATTATCTGACCAATAACGAAACAGCATAAAAACTGACGTCATCATTTATTCGACGTATCGCCAAATCGCGACCATGACGGTACGTTTGGAAGGAGTTCTGTAATTCAAGAACTTTGAACAACGCATTGACTCCATATACGTATTAATAATCAATACGGATAATCTCTATCTGTTTCCATAGCGAAACATGAAGCCGATTTTTGAAGACAAATGACTATCCATAAGGAAAAGTTTTGAAACGATCAGACACATACTACTTTGATTGAAAGGCTAGTAAACGTCATTGTCCACCGAAACGCATGTCTTTGATGACTACCATAATAGCGCATGGCGCATGCGTATCATGCCACCAAATCCTTATAGATATTCATTTGTTTCATATTTTTGGCTTCATCCTGGCACCCGTTATGATCCGTATTGTTTATTAATACGTATATGATTGACTCATTATTTATAAAAAAAGGGGAGAACTGATGCCAAAATCAAATCAGGTCCCTAACTACATAGTGGAGCAATTGAATGCTAATAGTTCATTATCAGTCTTCTCGCCCATTTCCCAATTTGTTCTCAATTTCTAGTTCAAGTTTATTTAATCCACAGAGCAGTTATGCTATCGGACATGTCAAGTATCAGTACAAATATTTGGGTATAAGAAATACAATAAAACATACCGTCTTAGTATACTAAGTAAACAAACAAACGAACAGGTATTAAAATTAGACAAACATTTGAAATTGATATCATGTAGGTTCAGTACGTTCATGTATAGACATTTTGCTTTTTCATCTATTTATTTCATTGTTTGTGGTTGGGTCTGACTGTCAGTGCTAGTCAGGGTGTCCCACTGATATTGACAGGATACCTAATTCAAGTTATATTTTTCCATAAGTGCAACAATTTTAAGAGGTTGTTACCGCGAGATTAAAGATTAGCTTGGTAACTTTGTATTCCTCTGGTAGATAATATATCACTTTAGACAAGTGTGGTACTATAAGCTATAAGCTCTTGAAAAACACAAATAACAAAATCGACGCCATTATTTAAAAAATAATAATGATGTCGGCTTTAAGATCAAACAAGGAACTCAGATTTTGGTACCACCATCTGAAGCAAAAGTGGTATGGAAAAAGTGGAACTCATTTTGGAATATCTTCTCTGATGAAGTGAGGACGAAATAAATTGGTTTCTCAAAACTATACTGGGTGTCCCAAGTTATCGGATATAGCTCCGGATACAGGCAGGGGGTGCCATATGGAAATAAAAATATGGTGGTGATGCCACAGGATTTTTTGTTTCTAAGTCATTAAAAGCATGTTTTTTATTTTATTATCATGTCAAATAAGCGAGATATTGACCGTATACGACATTTCGTATTTCACAGATTCACACATATTATTGTGTTATAAAAATCGCAGTTCTGTCTAAGTCTACGAAAGTATTGTTCCTATAACTGTGGTCTGCGGTTTGAGGAGGATACAAAAGTCGTACAAAAATATATAATTGTTTTCTACTTACAATTTGAGGTATGAGCCGCAACACCATTTCCTTCACTGTTTTACCGCCAACGAGCATTGTCAATATTGAAGATGATTCTTTTTTCTTATACATCAGACATGTTCGACACATGACAACTATATCTTTATTTTTTTTCTTGACAGAATCTGTCGACGACTCTTTTTTTAAAGTCAATCGTCTAGCTGCTTCTTTGGTAGAAAAAAATATTGTGGGTACTGCGGTAACTTTTAGAAGTCTAGCATTGTTGACTTTGTGATTCTCGAATTGATCATCAGTAAAATGATCCTGAAACAATATAGGAACATGTCTGTATTTGAGAGCTTGATTTAATTCATCAGACCACCATTTGAGAAAGAATGTATTGTCTGATAAATGAAAAAATACACCCAAAATACCACAATAATATTTAGAAAAGCTGAGGTACAGGGTGTCTCCTCATATTTTGACCCCTACCAACAGCTTCAACAATACGAGGTGAAAAAAAAATCAATTATGTGAGTAGTAGGGTTTCATCTGTATTATATTTTGGTACTCGTTAAACAAACGCAAATCGCAAAATATACGGGTGTCCCATAAGTCATGGATCAAAAGAAGTGAGATGGTAAGGGACGTCATTTGCAATGAAACTAATGGTATATGTGGTGAGTAATTAAATTGTTGATGGTTCATAAGTTATTGAATTTTTCTGAAAAACCCGACCCATTTGAAAAAAATTAATAGCAAAAACGCTGTTTTGAATAACCAATGTGATATACCATTTCGGAATCTGTATTATATGGGCAAATTTTCCTTTTAATTGGTTATCTTTGTGGGGTAGTTATTAAATCTGCCAGCCGCATTAAAAAATCACCTTAAATATTTCATTCAATGACAAAACTCCAGGAAAATAACATTTTCCTCCGATTGGCAGCAAATATTAATTTTGCTGACACATATCAATCAGCAAAGTATTACTTTTCCTGCCTAGGCAGCAAAGTGGTTACTTTGCTGATTGATATGTATCAGCAAAATTAAAAATCCATAAATCGTTTATAATTTCCTTCATATTTCATCCGAGACTTCTCCGGCAACAAATTCAACTCTATATTTTTTGCCACCTCCCTTATTAATGGAGGTGTAAGTATACTTCCAGGTCGCTATCACTGTCCATTATATAATAATTTAAATATACCGATATTTTTTCGCACAACAGTCAGAAATTTCATGAATTGTCAAACCAACAACTGCGATTTCTATCAAATTTTATTTTAATTGAACACTATACAGGAAGAATAAAGAGATTGATTAAGAGAGAGACTTGTAACTAGCGAAGCCTCCTCTATGATATGGTAGGTATTGCATTCTGGGGCTATTGTTGCCGGTTGTTGCTCCTATCAATTGTTTAACACTCCACTCAGTCTACTCACATGACAGACACAAGCAGTGAGGTATATATTTATAAAGTCGACTCCAGAAAATCTTTTGAGCCATTGATTATTCGTAAAAAAAAATTTAACCTTACCATAGTTCGGACTTGTTTCAGTTGTCACCAGACCGAGGGCGGCTGATGAGAACTAGTGGTCTGGAACAGTACTCTTGCTCTTGCCACCAATTATAAACTTGATTAGATAGATAGATAGATAGATAATTTATTCAACCATATTATGCTATACCGGGTGACACAGGAGACATGTAGCAGCCTGTAGTTTTTTTATTTGAAGAGATAAAATTTTGAAATTCACAGGGGGTATATAATAAATGGTTGCGCACTTTACGAACTTAACGACTTTTTTTTTTCAACCACCTGTTTGACCGGAAGTGACCCCAACTTTTTTTTTCAAATGTCACCCTGTACATTTCTTCAGTCTATCTTTTCCGCCTTGAAATTCTCTATCCAACCATGTATCACAAAGTGGCATTTATTCCTTAATTCGCTGTTGAATTGCTTTTTATCCAAAAAGAATAAGTTGGCTGTGGCATGAATTCGATGATATATCGACACTTGGTATGCTTTGAAATTTAAATATTATTAGAAAACCGATATTATTCAAAATGTTTTGATATTCTGATCAATGTCTGCAGGTTGTCAATAGCTTGTTTGAGTCAAGATGAAAACCTTCGAAAATAACTCATGATATTGAGGAATCTAAGATAGGAACATATTTTTTCGAATTCAGCTACTCCTACAGAAACTATCTGTCTTTTATTTTCGCCATGTACCTATCACATGATCTTCCCATTTGGAATAATAAAACTAAAATGTTTTCTCTTAAACGATGATCCACAGGGCTATCAGTCTATTTTTTCATAATTATTTAACTTAGTAAGCGGTGTACCTACACAAAATGTTTTATGTGTTTGACAGTTAATCGATTGCATCAATAATTTTTCTTTTTCATTTGTGTGTTGATTAAAATTGCATATTAACAACATATCGACTTTTTCGTTTCTTGAATACATTTTCCGTCTCTATTGATAATAAGGTTTTCATCTTGACTCAAACAAGCTATTGACAACCTGCATACATTGATCAGAATATCAAAACATTTTGAATAATATCGGTTTACTAATGATATTTAAATTTCATAGCCTACCAAGTGTCGATATATCATCGAATTTATGTCACAGCCAACTTATTCTTTTTGAATAAAAAACAATTCAACAGCGAATTAAGTAATAAATGCCACTTTGTGATACATGGTTGGATAGAGAATTTCAAGGCGAAAAAGATAGACTGAAGAAATGTACAGGGTGACATTTAAACAAAAAAGTTGGGGTTACTTCCGGTCAAACAGGTGGTTGAAAAGAATTGTCGTTAAGTTCGTGAAGTGCGCTACCATTTATTATATACCCCCTGTGAATTTCAAAATTTTATCTCTTCAAATAAAAAAACTACAGGCTGCTACATGTCTCCTGTGTCACCCGGTATACATGTATGGCAGGTCATTTTTGCAAATACCAAGAAAATCAACTCCTACCTACCTCCTCTCCCTATCCTTCCTAGGTATGCATGATGTTAATTGATTATTATAGGGATTCCCTTTTGTGCGCTCCAAGCGATAAAAAAAACATGTGACATAGTGGTTGTACATGGTGGTTACAGGTCACAGTGACCTGCAGTGTTGTTTGAGCTCCAGTATATGGATCCCTGACCCCCTAAATAGTAAGAAAGTGTATAAGCTGCCGACTAGCCGGCAAATTATACTTTTTCTCTAGACTGCCGACCATCCAGTGGAATACATTCTTTCTGTATACCAAAAATCCAAGACGGTTAGTAGCTTAGTGGTCACGACATTGGCTTCAAAGCCCATATTTACTAGTTTTTTTTTTAAATTTATTTTTCAATTTTTTTTTTCATCAGATTTTTGTTACACTACTAAGTCTGTTTGGGTAGAGTATACATCACTTTCTTTATATTTTATTGTTTTCTAATCTAGTTTTTCCTTCCTCCATTATTAGTTCACAAGATTTTTTGATCAGGGTTTTGTTCCACCAATAGGATTAGTGTGTATTTGCATAAGTATATCCCAATTTTTTAGAAGTTTTTTTTTTCAAATCATGTTTTTTCCTCCATGAAATTGATCATTTTAGTCTACTGGTTGGCATCCTAAACAAAGCCTATACACTTCCAAATAATAATAATAACCTGACACTAGTGAGAATATCTTCATAAAACCCTTGAAACTTGATTAAAAGTTTTTTTATGGATCTGTATGTACCTTAGTCAAATTCACACCTTAAAAAATCATAAATAGGTAACTAATTTTAGATGAAAAAAATCATCATAGTTAACAATATTTTTTATGATATCCGGCCACGTTATGAAAAACTTTAAGACTCAAGATTTATCACCTAACATTTAAGGCTCATCACTTATAACAGATGAAACATGGAAATATCATGAGTTCTGTTATAAAACCATTCAAGACTTATGATTTATAATTCAAGATTTAGGAAGATGGCCAACTTTCAACCTAAGAAGTGCTGATAAATGATCATAAATGGAATAAGGAGTGTGCATCCAAAAGTGACATATCAATTTCCCGCCATTCAAAAATTATTCAAAATATCTGGGTAGTTTTTCCTGAATATTTGGTTTTCTTCTGATAGGAAATATGGATACTGAACCATTCTTCAAAAATACACTAGAATATCTCAACTCTGTTGCCTCCATATTTGGCAAAAGATCCAAGGAGTGAGCCAGTTTCTGTTAGGCAAGGAATAGTGATTACCTTTAAAATAACATGTGAGATATAATGGATGTGGGTACATAAATCAATAGAATGATAACATGAACTTTTGATTTCCAACCAGTTTCTAACTCACTAAACTTTGAAAATCTGGTTCTGCATCAGAAACTAGATGTCAGTAATGTATTGTCCTAGAATCTTAAATTTTTATATAACTGAATCCACTTAAGACTCTTAAGTCTCAAATGTTTGAATGTTGAATCTTAAATGCTAAAAGTTTTTATAAAGTTATGAGCCTTTCTGGTGATCTAGATATCAGATTCTAGGACAATACATGTATTCTGTCTTTTGTCACACTCCTTATTCCATTTATGATCATTCATCAGCACTTCTTGAGTTGAAAGTTGGCCATCTTCTTGAATCTTAAATGTAGAATCATAAGTCTTAAATGGTTCTATAACATAACCCGCGATATTCCCATGTTTCATCTGTTATAAGTGATGAGCCTTGAATGTTAGGTGATAAATCTCAAGTCTTTTATATTAGTCTTCATGTATGTACAAAAATCACCCACCATAGCCTCTGACTTTTGGTGAATTCTTATAATTCTTGCCTTCGATCATAAAACAGACGTTCGGAGATTCTTGCATAGATCTAATTACACAAGATAATTGGTTAATTTTAGTTATTACTAATTAATTATTCACCACTCATTTTCTCCTCAAGTTATGAATATTCCATATTTAGGCATTTAAGCAAAACTTCTATGCAAAATGCACAAGACAAATAAAATACAACCAGCTACAAGGGAGATAATGACTGGTCTAGACAAAGTTTGATAGACAAGATAATCATCATCATCAAGCGCTGAAGAAATGAAGATGAAGATCTGTTGATGGTCTTTACAGCTTCTAGCATTGAACTCTAGATTGAACTTGTAGTGGATGCACTCTTTTGAAGTCCCAACAAGAATTTATGATAAGAAGATAATGAAGTGGAATGAAGGCATTATTAGTAGAAATGAAAGATCCACTGACCTCACAAACAAATGCGTTTAGGGGTAAATCATCTCTGTATATGCATTTTAACCACTGTTTTCTTCTTTCTTCATTTCGTTTTCCTTGTGGCAAAGCAAACAATCGGGAGCCTTTTTCCGTCTTGTTATAACAATTTGAAACGCAACAATAAGGCATTTTTCAGAATTGTTTCTTCGATTAATCGATTAGACAATTTTTTTCTACTATTTAATACATTGTTTATAGTTTATTGTTTACTTATATTGGTGGGTAGCATGCAAGGTCTATTAACTTCTATAAGGTTGCCTCATAGTATAGCATTATGGTGCGGGGGTGCGCGGAGGGGCGTGACGTCAGTGTTTCCCCACCACGTGATTGTTGATTTCGTTTGTGTCACTGTCAAATGAATTGGAAACAATTTTGAATTTGAATTCGAAAGAATCGCGAATTTTAGACTTTAGTTGAAAACAGGGTGACAAGAAGACTGAAGATATCTTTGAAAGAGTGTGAGAGGTTGTATAATAATATGGTGTAGTATTATTCAAGGCTGGTCACATCATAAATATCATAATATTATTGTGTGGAGTCAAGAGTGGATATAGAACAAACAAATGTTATGAAATGCCTGTTTGGCAGCCTCCACATGAGATTCAGATAATTCCAAAGGAAAATGATGAGCTGTGACCATGCTGTGGCAATGTGAATGTCCCTGTGAAGCAGGCATGTCATGGTTTTGTATACACATTTTATAGGGACTTATATTGACAGGTAGGAAGGCGCACTTTTGATCTATCACACACACAGGTAAAAACATGAAATTTCAGGAATGAAGACTTGGAAATGTGAAGCTGCATATATAACAAACAGATGTGGTGAAAATTGAAAAAAGAGAGTAGATCAATCAATGATCTATTATACAGCCAAACCATTTCAATAGAAGGAAAGTGACCCCCTAAAATCATTCTTCCTTTATATAATTGAAGTTAATTTTACAGGGTATATCAGTCTATTTTGTTTTTTGTTTGGAAGCCAATGAACTCAATGTGAACAACTAGCTATTGCATGGTACTCAGGAACACTGGTGAGTTTATTAAATTTTACTTATACTTGCTACTTCATTTTTACATGTAGCAAGGAGTCTTGGGAAAAAAGGCAATCAACTTCTTCTTTCCAAAGGATTTTTCAAATAAATTTGTTCAGCATGGAGTTGAATATGAATCCAAAGCTCTTTCAAAATGTTTATTGAAAATGATATTGAATTTCAAATCATGCAAACTAATTTGTGTCCCAATATTTTCCATGGTTAGGATTTTCTCAATATGAAATTATTTTTCAGGAAGGAAGACCATGGAAATAATTGAAATAAGTGTCCTTACTGAGGTCCTTACATAGAGGTTTGTTAAATAATGTGTATTACATTCAGGTTGAATTATTTTCTCAAAATTTTAGGTAAAGGTTCAGAACATTTTGTGGAACAATGCCATTTCTTGATAGGAGATGGTATAAAAAATGTAAAGTTGGAAGAGAGACACACTTATTATGGATAAATTCAGTTGGGAATAATGGCCCTAAAATGTCCCTAATGAACTTGAAAGAAACTAATTTTCTTGTATGATTCTTCTTCCTCCAAAACTTACATAAAGATTCCAGTGTTTTTGTGATACATTTTGTGTTAATGTTATGAGGAAGATATCTCAAAGATATTTCCATTATGTTGCACTTTTATTGCATTAATAAAATGGAATGAATTGTGATGACTTCTTTATTAATTCATTTTCTTATTATTGCATTTTCAAACAATAATATGTTCCAAATTGATACTGAAATAAAACCAGTGAGTTACAATCATTCAATTTATCCAGAAGGAAATCCTCTTTAGTTAATTGTTTCTTGTTTCTCAGAAATGATGGCCTAATCAATTTCAAGATATTTCTTCACATCCCTTGTCAGCATGCCCTTATCCACCATGATTTCATCATTAGGTTCAGACTTCCCAATAACATTTTCTTTATTAAAAAATGCTTTATCAGTAGTTCAACCTCCATATCCTTATTAATGCCAACAGTAATCAGTCCTAATGGAGTGGTATTGCAATAAGAATTTGACTGAGTTTCTGTAATGTGTCTGTACAACAGGAGCACTGTGGAACATATCTTTCTAGATTTCTGTTGTAACATAGGCTTCACAACTTGTGTATCAACCTTTACCCTGACATGTTGTCGCATGTCAATTGTCTTGTCTAATGACATGCGACAACATGTCAGGGTAAAGGTTGATACACAAGTTGTGAAGCCTATGTTACATGTAACATGTAACATAGGCTTCACAACTTGTGTATCAACCTTTACCCTGACATGTTGTCGCATGTCAATTGTCTTGTCTAATGACATGCGTCAACAACTGACAGGACGCCATATCATGTTCGGTATCATGCAATTTCATGTATCGACTCTTTTGTAGTGACTTGAAATAAAAGTTAATAAAGCAACATATTATAATAACTGATTATTTATTGAATAATAAACTTCATTACATACACAAGAGAAGTATGTAACATGGTGGCAGCGGTGGGATCATGTAACATAGGCTTCACAACTTGTGTATCAACCTTTTGTCCAAGTTCTAGCTTGCTAAGTTGTTTAGAGTGGTGTTGGTATTTGATTTGTCGTTCCTGCAATTGTTGTAGATTTTCAATGGTTTGTTCAGTTTCAAATTTGGGTTTCAACAGCTCCTGGGAGACTGGCAAAATGGAGTTTAACTGTCGCCCCATTAAGAGTTCTGCTGGTGAAGCTAAGTTATATTTGGGTGTGTTATTGTGCTCCAGCACTGCCCAATGGTAATCTGTCCCAGCCTTATTTGCCTTAACCAGTAATGATTAAGAGTTCTGCTGGTGAAGCTAAGTTATATTTGAAGGATTATGTTAGGTGTTGAAAAAAAAAAAAAAAAAAAAAGGGGAAACATGTAACATAGGCTTCACAACTTGTGTATCAACCTTTACCCTGACATGTTGTCGCATGTCATTAGACAAGACAATTGACATGCGACAACATGTCAGGGTAAAGGTTGATACACAAGTTGTGAAGCCTATGTTACATGTCTAATGACATGCGACAACATGTCAGGGTAAAGGTTGATACACAAGTTGTGAAGCCTATGTTACATCTGTCTTCAGTCTTTTGTACTTGCTGCATGTTTTGGGAAAACAGTGAACAATCTCTTGGATACAAAAACATATTGGAAAACTTCAAAATTTATCAATATTCACTTGATTGCACAATGCTAAATTTGTTTGTTTTGTTTTTCACCTCCGCCATTTTCATTTTGCCGTTCGACAAAAGACGATGGGGGAACAGTGACGTCAGGGCAGGTCAATATGAGGCAACCTTATAGAGTTGAATAGCCTTGGGTAGCATGATCATGGTACCATCCTGAACTCAATCAAGAGACCTATATTCTTTGACTCAATTGTCAAATTACTATGAAAAAACCTTGAAATGTCAATGTCACAAACTGCTGAAGGAAACAGTTTTGCCAACAATGAGCATGTTCCGATTTTCCCGAGTATATTTTATTGTTCCGATTTTACTGAAATTTACTGGCAACGTTTTCGCGCGTCAATGCAAGGAACCCTGTTAGAAGCTTAAAATTTTACTGTTGGCCACTGGTGCTCGATGAAAATTAGTATGAAGTCGAACTGGAAGATCTATAATACTGGAAAACCAGTTACATCAAATACCGAATTTAAAAATTTAGATTGCACTTTCCCTCTTCAATTCGAATTTCTTCATTCGTTTTAAATTCGTTAGTGTAGCTGCACGCAATATCAGCTGATTCATAGTGTAGTGCATTTTACACGACACTGAAATGCAGACGAAAGAACCTATTAAATCCTTGTACAGTGACAACGTGGTTGAAAGTCATGGCTGTTGTCATTTGTTCATGACATTGACAACTGACAACGTCAAATCAATATATCAACAAATTATTAAAAATACGAATTTCAAATCAAATAATGATTTTTTATATATTATGATCCATATGGTAAGCAATTAAAATAATAATATTGTATATCTGATTTCGCCTCATTATAGTTAGACTATTAAAAATGGTTGATGAAAGCACTAGGAAAACTTTGAGTAATATTGCTTTATTGAAAACAAAGGCAGGTCCCAGAGATAAAGAATTATGGGTTCAAAGATTGAAGGAAGAATATCAGTCTTTAATCAAGGTATTATATGCTAATTTTTAAAAATTGTGGATTCAATATATGATGAATATTTCATTCAATTTTATAGTATGTTCAAAACAACAAAGATGCTGACAATGATTGGTTCAGATTAGAATCAAATAAAGAGGGAACAAAATGGTTTGGAAAATGCTGGTTCATTCAAGATTTATTAAAATATGAATTTGATGTAGAATTTGATGTAAGTATGCCGGGGTGATTATGTGGTGATTATCCCAAAATTGACTTTACTTTGGTATCTCTCTCTGACAATTTGTGAGAAATCTGGATATTTATTGAATATCAAGTGAAGTGGTTATTTGCTTGTGTCATGTTTTATGCAATAAAGATTATTATTGAAATCTGTAGGTGGTAATATAAATTTTTTCTGGATTTTCTTGTTTCAAGCATTTCTCAGCTGTGATATGCTAGGGGTATCAGATGACACTGATAAGACTGAGAATAGACCATTAGGACTGGATGGGTCTCCTACCCTTGCTCCTATTAATTTTTTCAGACCTAATATTTCTGAAATATTTTGAATTGGTCTGACATTCTTGATCAAATTATATAGACCTCATGTAAGCATTGTAAAAAAATGTTCTCAGAGCTTTTCTTTTCACCAATTCTACATTAATGTTTATGTTTCTACTCAGTTTAAGAATACTCTATATTATTCATTGAATGATTAAATGACATTTTAGATTCCTGTAACTTATCCTACTACAGCACCAGAAATAGCACTTCCAGAACTAGATGGCAAGACAGCAAAGATGTACAGAGGGGGTAAAATATGTTTGAGTGACCATTTCAAACCACTGTGGGCAAGGAATGTTCCCAAATTTGGAATTGGGCATGCTATGGCATTAGGGGTAAATAATATTTAATTTATCAAATGAATATCTGAGAAAGTATGCTGCTGCTAACTAATGTTTTCAACAATTTCAGCTAGGTCCTTGGCTTGCTGTAGAAATTCCTGATCTCATATCAAAAGGTGTAATATCATATAAGGAGAAAACTGAAAGTGGTAAATAATTTGTGCTCCTAAAGAGTGCATTAATTCCCTTGTAAGATTTGGTATATAGAATTCAATTTCAAGAATAATTCTAGAAACCAGAAAGATAGAAAATTCACTTTTTCATACTCATTAAGTTTTAATTATGGTGATATATAAATTTGTAAATTCCTTATCTTCATCATTAAACTGAAACTATTGGCTAGAGATAACTTTCCATAAAATTGCATTCTTTGAGTTTAGAATGAATAAAATATATAGTTGGAATTCCTTGATCCATCCAACAATATTTATAATAAAATCATAAGTTCATTATTCTGATTTCAAACAAGTTATTGAATATATATACTTTACTAGTGAGTTATATCTACTCCATTCCATATAAATATGCACTATAACACAAAGCTTGTACCTATTATGGTTGTTTGTATAAAAAATAAGTATTGTTCATTGTTGTATACCTTTTGTATCATACAAAATATTTTTCCATAAAGACCTGTTTCATAATCCATATTTTATTTTTAACAAAAAATGTCCCACCAGATCCCAAAGTAAGGTCTAGAAAGTTCCATTAGAGTTTCAGAGAGAGTGAGTTTGTGACAATTATTCAAACTAGAGCCTGTGATAAAACGACACTGAACAATCTCAGAAGTCACCGCCTAGCAAACAGTTACATCACAGATATATCGCAGTGATGTAACAATTATAACTTGTGATATCGCATAGACGTCGCTGCGATGTCCAGAGGGATGTTATTTTGTCCCACTCAAGTTTCATCCATTTGACATAGCTGCAATAGAAGTGCCTAAAAAATCCAATCTGACAATGAGGTTTGGGAATGGTTCGAAAGTTATAGGCTCTCGTGCTGTGATGAGTTCTCTGCAATATAATATTATATGTTATATTGTGATGGAAAATCGATGTGTTTCTGTGATAAAACTGAAATGTGATGCGAGATGGCATTGCAGTGAAACGAAAAAAGTTTTATTTTCTCAAACATGGTGTGATGATAGGAACACCAAAGGTTCTATTTTCATCATGGGAACACCACTGACTTTTGATGAATGTGTTGTGACAGGTTGGTGGTCCCTCGGGTATCCTGTCCATTCAATCGTCTTTTCAGCGGCGCTATCCATGGTACCTACACGAATCTCTATCAGAATTAGATCTGTTACTCGTATTTATAAAAAATTATGCAGTGTGTGTCGGCGAGATGTAATCAAACCCTAGAAGAATCTAAATAAATTTTTGAAAAATTCTCGCACATGAGTTTGCTTCTGTACATCGCAGCGATGCAACATTCGTAATATTGCATTGTTGCCCCATCTTTTCAATGCTACCAACGTGGCCTCTCACTAGTTCAAGGTAGGGTCCCTTGATGGAAATTGACGTTAAAGTCACCTACGGACAGATCCTCGTCTCCTCTCACTCTAAAGTGTTTGTGAAACAGTTATATAGTTCCATCCTTATTCAATTCTGGGGATAAATACTAGATTTTTGACATTCGTTGTTAGGTTATATTGAGGTCACTGGCGTATCATACGTAATTTCCATATGGAATTCCTGATTCAACTATACCAAGATATATATGAACAATCCTCTAGTTTTAGAGTTTACTACTCCAGTATAATCTTTGCGATTTAGGGAACATATAAATTGTACTAAAAGCTTAATATATTTCACCAAAAGAGACTGTTCTTAGACTATATACCGGGGTTGACTGAATTGACTGAATGAATTCTGATTTCAAGCTGAGCAGTAGTTTATCTATGAGCTGAATGAACTGAGCCTTATGATTGAGAAATGGTGGAAACCTCGACGTGGGTATCTAGACTACTGTACTCATGTCATGTGTGCTAAATATATTTTCAGAAATCCAACTCGGAGAAGAATTTATGGAGTTACTAATATCACACTATGTTTAAAACTTCGTCCAGGACGAAAAGTGGGCTGATAAAAATTAATACGTAAAATGTGCAGGAAAATAAAGAATCGAATATAGTTATCACCCCCATGTTATACATATGATGTTTCCGTCTCTTTGAAATAAAAAGTCATTTTCGAATAATTCATTGATGAAAGTAAAAAAGAAGTAGATATACACGTTAAGTATACGCAGTATAACTTATAGGCACGTTATTTTCACTCTTGCATCCTACATATTTTCTATTTGTGGTAGAGTAATAATTATATAAACTAATGTATTTCGCCATATTGGATCCGTCATCTTGAATTTTTCAATTTTGACGAAACAATCATTATCTCCCACCCCGAAAACCCCCAGATACCAATTTTGAATAGAATCGGATCTTCACTACAAAACTCGTCCACCATATTGGATCCGCCATCTCGAATATCCCAATTTTGACGAAATAATTATAATCTCCGACCCCGGAAATCCCCAGATATCAATTTTGATTTTTTTAATAGAATCGGATCATGATTACAAGTTTCGTTCGCCATATTGGATCCGCTATCTTGAATTTTCCAATTTTGACAAAAAATCATAAAGTTCGACCCCGAAAACCCTCAGATAACAATCTTGAATAGAATCAGATCATCATAAGAAATTTCTTTTGCTATATATTGGATCCGTCATCTTGAATTTTACAAGTTTGGCGAAACAATCATCATCTCCAACCCCGGAAAACCCCACATACCTTCCAATTTTGAATAGAATCGGATCATAATAATCACAAAACTCGTTCGCCATATGATCTTCCTCAACAAGTAAATACCCTGTACAATACCTATTATCAAGATTTTGAATGATTTTCTGTAGCGCCCATGGATGTGACGTGACAGCAATGTCAGGGATGCCAGTAGACAAAACTAAAATCTCTAGACCATTAAAAAAGAATGCAGCTATGTTCTGTCCGTAGCCTGTTAAGATGACTTCAACATCAATTTCCATCAAGGGACCCTAGTTCAAGGTAGAAAAGAGCTCAATTTGAATGAGTTTCTCGGGTTGTTGGGATGACAGTAACGGTCTTGATAGGTGGTGGTCAATTTTCTTTGTTAAATCGTTGAGATGTCGTGTTCTGTTAATCTATCACTCCGTGATTTCCTGGAATAGGCTAATGCATGAATCAAGGTTTTTTGAAAACTGGTTTTTCTTTCTCAAAAACTTGAGTGTATTGTATTTTCTGTATAGTGTATTTTCTTTTTTTTGTGTTGGCCTGTTGTTTTGGCAGTATAAATGAAGTGAATCAAAAATGGAATATTATTATTACCTACTATAATTAACACTCCATTATACTTTTCATTACACATATATTCCTTAATGAAACGTTAGAACTGATGATGAATATTCAGCTGATCATAACCTCGACCTCTTTGACTGACCTGATCCATTTCTTCCGTCTGAAACATGACAACCGGATCAATTAAATATACGTTCAGTTTCACTCTGATCAGATCACTCACAGGGTTCAGACCGAAAGAAATCACTATTGGTGAGTTTGAAATTGAACTTACATATCCAAAGTGCGGTTTTTTTCGGAAACAGAATATCAAATTATGAGAAGTGGTCCATTGAATGTGTTGAAAACTCCATCTGGGAGCTAGGAAAACTCGTTTTTTTTTCTGATACACGATTCTTTTTCAAAATACATTAGGATAGGTGAGAAAGATCGTCAATCATAGGAGGCTGAACCTGTTGCTGGTGCTGCTGCTGCATGGCATAATTCTGCTTAGAAATCAGCAAAGCCGGCGGTTGACCGCCCAAATTCTGCCCTTGGAAGCTCCCCTGATTGGACTGGTTCGACATCATCACCAACTTTTGCTGCGGCTGCATTTTCTGCTGCATCTGATTGGGGTTATTCGAGACGAATTTCACGACTGTATTCTGTGCCGTGGATGTCGTTTGTTGGTTTTGCTGGGACGTGCCCATCGGTGTTTGTGAACGCTGGGTCACGAAGACGAACTTCTGGTTGGATTGCGGTGTTTGGACTCTTGGCGAAGGGTTCATTACTATCGTTCGACCGGCATTTGGATTTTGCTGGAATCGATGGAATAGATTGAATGCTACCAAAATCGATAAACTATTTAGAGTGTAATAATAATGATAATTTTTATTCAGTAGGACCGTTAATGATGATATTGAATAGGTCAAAGAAAACATCAAAAGGTAATTTTGCACTTATCATGCGATGGGTTTTTTTTCAAAAAATTTTTTTGGTACTTACGTATTATTGTCTGAAAAACACGAATTTGATATTGAAAATGTGAACAAACCACTATTTATCGAGATATTTCAAGAAAAAGTTCGAAATTTTGCCTTATTTTCGCCCTTGTGTTGGATGCATATACAGGTACTTGCTCTTTTTATTTTGTCATTGGACACTTCATATACTCATGATGTACTTTAATGACACATTTTAAGCTAGAAAATTCAACAGGAAATATGATTTTTATGGCGAGTTTTTCCTATTTAGTGAGCAAGCATACCAGATGACCGCCATTTAATCGATGGGTAATCCAAATAGGAGATGTCAAATGTCAATAGATTGCTTTGGAATGACATCACACACGCCATTATTTCAAATGATATTCTTCCTTCTTTTCACTAAACATGGATAAATCACAAGAAAAGAATATTTCTAGTTGACTCATATAATAAAAAAAATGTGTCCAACATTGTGTGATATATATAAATTGTCCTATGATGGAAAAAGAAGGGCAAATTGTTCTAAATGCGCCTCAAAGACAGGCGGAAAAGAAGGTGAAATTTGTAACTTTATAGTGAAATATCTTAATAAATAATGGTTTGTTCACATTTTCATTATCAAATTCGTGTTTTTCAGACAAAAATACGTAAGTACCAAAAAAAATTTTCGAAAAAAAACCCATCGCATGATAAGTGCAAAATTACCCATCAAAACATAAACAATTGCAATACCAATGTCATTAAAAAAATTAATCAACATTTATACTTATATATATTTATGTATATTAAAGTAGAGAATCATTGAAATATTCGTTAAGCGTATAATATGATTTATCCAAGAGCAACTCCTTGATTCTATGCTAATAGAGTTTAATATGCAAATTCTTGATATTATTTGGCAATTTGTTGTACACTTTTATGGCTATATATCGAGGACAAGTTTTGGTTACTGTCAATCGGTGTAGTGGCACTTCTAGCTGTTGCAAATGTCTAGTGATATGTGTATATTTCTGTTAAGACTCTGGAAATCTGTTATACTTAATTCAACATATTGCATATAACTCATAGATGTATGTACTTATGAGTGTGATGATTCTGAGGCCTTGAAAAATGGTCTTACAACTGGTTATTCTACTGCAATATACCTGATAGCTTTTTTTTGAATAATTTTACAGTAGATGACGTGGATAACAGAGCCTGGTTTACACTAGTAAACCCGCCAAATTTAAATATTTGAGAGTGATTGCATAGTTTAATGATGAACCAATTATACCCAGTATCTAGATTTCAGGGGCTAATTTTAAAGGTCAACATGAGACTTTTTTCCTACAATCATGTGTCCACAAATAATATTTCTTCAGGGGTCAAGCCCTTTATTGGCTCATAAATTGGTGCGTCCCTGATTGATTTTGAACTACGTAATGAATTCTTCATTTTGTTCATAAACTTTTTTGTCTCTTGTAATGTTCACGCATCTGCGACCATTATTGAGAAAGAAAATTAAAATCATTTGTTTGTAGTCTGCTAGATTTAACCCTTAATTGGTATCGTGCGGTATTTCGGTACCCCACTAGTCATAATTGTGCGAAAATATACTCTCAATTAACTTGGTTGTTTCAGGTATTCTCCCAAGTTCATGATATCTAGAAAATCGTAGCGAATTTTTCTGCAAAAATCAAACAGTTTCGAAAATGAAAAGTAATTGGAGTGAGCAAATCACACCTCTGTCAGTTTTTTACTATCAATCGAATCTTTTCTTTCTTATCACAGGAGTCAATAGTGAGCACTGAAGAACAAGCCTGCAAAATCGACTACTTCCCACACGACATTTCAAGTGAATTTTACAGCCTCTAAAGAATGTGGATTTAGATTTTACTCTGCTGCATTGGTCCACTCTCAAGCTCAGCTGGTAGTTTTCCACACCCACCTACATACACCGTCCTACTTCTCCTTTGATGCTCACAACCACATCATCATCATTTCTTCCTATGTGTTCTGTGCAGGCTTTGTTACTAACTCCATGCGCCACTTGAATTGAAATTGAAGGGCACCCATCATAGAAAAGAATATTGATAAAATGAAATCCAGGGTGGGACTCACCCAAAGTTCTGAACTGTAGCAACTCTGATATCACCTCTGTACAAATTTCTGTGCGGAAGGCGATTTTTATTGAATTTTAATGATCAAATTTCTAGTTAATCAAACCAATTAGCAAAAATCTGATATCATGGGAATATCCTTTAGCCCATATTTTATTGATTTGATGAATATATGAACACATTTCGAAAACATCTTGTATAGATAAGAAAATGAACGAAAATATCCCATAATTTCTTTTCACACCACCCCGTATATCTACTACCGATATCGGAATTAGTCATACTTGTTCGGGAATTAATCGGCTGAAAGGATAACGTAACTAATGAGTCATTCAAATGATGAATCAAACGCAGTCTCGTTCTAGACTTCATAGTGCACGGTCGATATAAGTGATAATAATAAAGAACTCAAGTATTTAAGACTGGAAAATTGGAAATTCATATTCGGCTTAGTGATTGTATTTTCATTTGAGTGGGTGAAAGTTGTATTTTTTCAAGATGGTAAGTATTTTTGTATAATATAATTATATGGAGGCATTCATCACGTGGTTGGTATTTTGCTTCGGTATACAAGGTATGTCATGACGAGCTTACACTATCTTTATATGGAGAATCATTCGGGAGAAATCCATGAAAATGTACATGCTTATATTTTAGTATACGCTCTTTTCATTTGAAATATTTTTGACAATGCAGTGTTGCCGCTTCTACTAGAAAGTAGTAGCAATATTGTTATTTGAAATGGAACACCCTGTATTTTATCGCATTTTTAGATTCTCCCTGAAGAGCTGATTTTATCGATGTATCAAACTTGGGGTCTATCGAAAAAGATTACAGAGATATAGGGTGCTCAAAATCAAGATTTTTTTGTGTCGAAACTATTGATTATCGGTCAGGACGGCTCACATGTCCCTATCTCAACTTTTGATTCACTAATTACTGATATTCAATCGGAACAGATACAGGATGGTTCAAGATTCAGAATTCTGATCATCCGCAATAGGTAGTGTCGTTTATTTTGAATTGCCTATTCGCGAGATTCACGAAGTGGGCGACATCTAGGTTACATAACACGAACTTCAAACTGGGGGAAAACGATCTGTTGTCTATGGATAAAGTGCATAGATTGCATTCAGCTTGCTGTAGCTGCAGTCAAACTTGTCAATGACATAAAGTGTTGGCACTGTTGGTAGTGATGATGGTTGAGTTGGTAAATTTTTATACATTATTACATTTTTATTAGTATATTGAACAGTGAACGGGTGAAGAATTGGAGATAGTTCAAACAATTCAAACTAATTATGACGAGCAAATCAATTGACATATAACAGCTACAACATGTTCAATACCCAGATTGTCCTGCTTTGCATGAACAAATACAAATCAATTGTTCTACAGGAGTTCCTCTGGACCCCAACTTCAATTTTACTTCGTGTGGGGAATATTTCATCGTCAAAGTTTGTAGACAAAGTGCAAAAATATGCCTTTGAAGTCTTCTGCCTCATACAAAATCACATGATTAGCACGGAGAACTGCTTCTCCTTCCACTACTGGTCGGCTTTTCCATCTGAATAGGGCAAAATATCTGCCAAAAGAACATGTACAACAGGCATTATATGCGTTTTCGATCGAATATAGACAATTAATGTCAAGAAATTTGAAAACTTATCACTCTTATCAGTATACAGTACACAAGCTAATGTCACTAATGGGATTGAGCGAGCATTGAGTTTGTTTTCCCCCCGTTTTGACGTGGCTTTGACATGGAACGATGAAAACCGAGCGCCACCTGGTAACATTGATTCCCGCGAATATGGGACAGACTCGATCTGACGGATATGTTCGCTGGAAAACAAAATTGTACGCACCTGTTGAATGATCCCGCTCGGCGTCGGCGCAGTCTTCCCGATCCCTGCTCCGGCGCCACACGTTATCGGCCCGGCGGCCACCCCGGTCGACCCCGCGCCGGCGCTAGTGACAGGCGTCGGCTGCGTGCGGGCTTTCACCACGGCTGCGTGCAGCCCCACGCCCAGATACCCGAAATCCTGCCTGTAGTCGTCCGCGTGGTCCGGCGGGGTGCGCAGCGTTTTCAGGACGGGCGCCAGGATCTTGATCATGAGCTGCTTGATGTGGCCTGAGGCGATCTTGTCGATGTTGGAGATCAAGTTGCCTTCTAGGTGCGATTCGACGCGAGCGCCTACAAGATATTCATTTATCCATCTACTTATTTTCCATGCATATTCCAAAATTCATAGTTACGTCGATTAGTACACGCCTATTCCAAGATACAATTAGATTACTTCAATTTCCTGAAATCAACATATCACCAGGCATTTGTAGTGATAAAAAAAGCTACCTAGCTTTCTTGATAACCGATAAATATGCCTTGCTTTCAATCAACACAATTCTATACGACAACAACTGTCACCGTCACTACCGTCAGATAAATTTCGAGTTTTCTCAACACAACGTCGTTTCTTATTTAAACCCAATTTTGTCTTTACTCTGTAGTTGTGTGTTGATCTCCCTAAAATACGTTCGAGAAAAAAAAACCGGAAGAAATTGTAGAAGGGTTGAAACCATCCTCATATCCTCAAATTTTTTCAGAACATTTCTTTCAGGTTAGTTGATTACTGAAAGAAGGGTTATCCTCTGAAATGCACTTTTGTCAAATTTCATCCAATTTGTTTCACTCATTTTTGAACAGAGCACAAAATAGTATATTATTTAATTTAACAAGCACGGAATGATAGTGACTTCCTACCAGAATGAAGTTTGCAGCATGAGCCATAGGCGAAATCTGCAATCATTCGAGTAGAAAATTAGCATTCCGTGCAAGTTATACACTATAATTTTTCTACGGCTATAATAGATAACAGCGGCATTTATTTTGATTTCTTCGTCTTGTAGCCATCTGATTTCCTGTCAAGTAGTGCTCATCTATTAAACAGAGCAGTCATTGCTTGAAATTTGACATTCCATGGGAGACGAGTTTTTTTTAATAATAACACAATGGAGTCATCGTGATATCATATACGGAAATAAAGTTGATGGCATACAAAGTAACGAATTGATGTATCGAACACAGTAAAAAAAGAGCAGTCTTGTGTTTTTTTATGTGAACTTTGCACTCGTCTCACCGACAAACGGTACATTCTTTTATATAAATAAGTTGGGTCCAATCAACTCATTTTGAACTTCATTACACGTGGTATCTCTGCGTCTCAGCAATTTTGGGACACCCTGTACATTTAAAATGAAACTTAAATATAGGTACCTACACAGAGAGTACACTGAATCAAGGATTAATTAGATTCGAAATTTATAATTTCCATGTAATAATTGATAAATTTATGAATAGATTGATTGTGCTTCAATATTTCAATTCTATAAGTTTTTTGTGAGTCTGTCTATAGACATTATATTCGTTTACCAGTCGAAACATGGTTACAAAAGGAGATCTGGCGGAGGATGCTGTGGCTACCAGGGGAACGTTAAACATCACAGAGGAATATTTCATTCACATTACCTGTCATGTTTGAAGCTGATAATCCCATTTCATTGTGTTTAACCGTGACGTAATTTCCGTGTGGGTGCGACTCCCCTACCTACCCTTGGTTTTACCAACTCCATAGTTGGTGCAGGTGGTTAGAGGTAAACTTGAATATTTGTTTACAAATGATGAATGTGAAAAATGGAGGATATAATGGTAACATTCAAACTGAAAATGAATGGAGTGAATGTCGAAGTAAGAGATACACGGGTAAACTATGGAAGTGGGTACAGTGGAAGAAATATGAATTCAAAAATAGTTGATGTTGACGACAAATTCGGTGAATGCAAAAATAAATTATAATAAATAAATTGTGTTACTAGTTCTTGCACTATGGTCATCATCAGAAACAGGGTAGGTACCTGTGTGAGAATAAAACCGAAATACATATTGAATGAAAGAAATCAAATCTGGTGAAAACACAATTTGCCAGAGGATGTTTTGTTTAGAGTTTATAGATATTTTGATATAAATAATATTCTTATATAAATATTTATTGGTCATGATATGAATACATTTACCACAAGTCACAATATGTGAACATATCATGACTGCTTATACAGGGTAGTTATTGGAATTTTCAAAACTCCTATAGACAAACTAATTTTGATAGAGAGTTGTTCAATAAATCTCAAAGTTAAGACGAGAGACGTGCTCCTTTCCTGAGACATCACAAATGCAAATTTCATGTTCCTATTCTGCATCAAACAGATGCCATTGCTTCAAATTAATTCGTTTCCTAATATCAAATATAAGTCTATTACTAAACAACCACCAAATTCGCAATTTTTGAAAATCTAATCACAGAATTAGACTGACAGATATTTGATTACTTCAAACAAATGATGAAGATGCATGCAATGCAGGTGTCATTCCTGTTGAAAATTTCAAATTTCATGTGGATAATTTAATGATTAAAAAAATAATACTGTATTTTACACAGGAAACATGTCATTCCTGTTAAAAATTTCAAATTTTATGTGGATAATTTTATGATTCACAAAATAATAGTGTATTCTACACAGGAAAAATAAAAGATTTTTGCTCATGATTTTTTGTTTCTCTCTCTGCTAGAAAAAATCTACTACTTTTTTCCCCTGTATAATAAATAACTATCATTCCTTCCCCAAGAACAACAAGAGTTTCAGAACTTTTTTCCCTAATGCAAAAAACAAAGCTGTGGATCTCATATATATTTTTGAAACTTGATAAGTAATATTCAAATTTTGCAAAATCATAAACAGAGAGCTTGATTAGATTCAACAATTTTTCTCAAAGAGAAGACACTCTAAACTGGGAATTTATGAAATTGTGAAGATTGTGGCAAAACATATGTGAGACAAACAAGGAAAACTATTGAAACTAGAGTCAATGAACATCTGGTAGAAGTTAACACAAATATCAAGTAAATAAAGAGCAAATGAGAGATACCAAAATAAGTGAACACTCCTAGGCTTTGGTTAACTTACATATGCAAAAATTACCTTTTTTTATCACCTACCTATACTTCTGACTCTTGGAAGTATAAATATCCTAGTAACTTCTGTTCCCAGCTCTGACAAACCCTGAAGGGCCCCATAGAGTGATGAAAGTGGAACCTTATCCTGTTGCAATGCATTGGTGAACATTCTTGTTACCCTTGTTTGTATATTATTTGTACTGGTGTTGAAGTTCTTGCAAATTTGGGCCATGAGTCTAGATGCAAAGTCTCTCAATGCCCAATGATTATCTAGTTCAGGCCTCATGCACAATTGTTTTGACACAATGCAAGTGGTGACAGAAGGAATCAATTCATGTAACTATAAAACAAATAAATGAAGCTCACTCATGATGTAGTCATTTATGAGGTTAAACTCACATATTTTTCTAGATACAATGATTGATTATCTAATATTGCTTTAACCATTCTCATAAGATAAATCAGCAAAGCTAGGTTATTCTGGACCACATTCACTCTGACACCTTCAATGATGAATGTACACATTCTTGGCAGCATTTCATGAAGACCTGGATCTGAAGCTAAACTTTGCAGGGCTTCCTAAATAATGTATTGGCCATTAAAATTCTGTAGGATAACTTGCTTATTTTAATGAACTTACAGCTCTTCTAGCTTCATCAGAACCAACACAAGCTTCTGTGATTTCTTTGTAATACAACTGTTGCTCAACTGATAGCTCATGGGTAGCAAGCTGCTTTATTTGTACAGTTTCAACATTACGTAATTTTTGTTTGCCAGTAGTAGGTTTACCAGAAGATTCTTTAGCTGGTTTTTTATTGACAGGATCAACTGAATCTAGCTGTAATTCAAAAATCATGTCACATGAACTTATTAACTCTGAATATAGAAGTAAACCTTTTGTGTATTTTTGGCAACCGGTGGTGGATTTTCAGGAATTGTTGGCTGTACACCATCAATACATAACCAATGTGGACGTAATGTACATTCTAAAGGTGCTTTAGGGTTTATATTTTGTAACAAATCATTCAGATCAACTTCTTTCTCTTCAAGAAAATGAAGTTCTCTGCCCCCTCCAGAAGCAAACCTGAAAGGTAAGGGTTCTGTTGACTGAAATCCATATTGGGGCTGCAAGAGAAGTTGAATTAGTATAGGGAGTTATTAAGATTCAATAGGTATCTAGTTTACCTCAATATTCTTCATTCTGAGGGCTGCATCAACATCAGTTTGCATTAGTTTCACCCGCTTTGCATGATTCATAAATTTGGCTGAATCTTGAATAATATGTTTGAGACGAAAGGAAATGTCTTCAGCTAGTTCTTTTGCTGCATCATCAGCTAGGTACCCTATTCCTATACTTTCTGCAATTACCTTCATAGATTCAATGGAAAAATTAGTCCCATATAAATCATGGTCAGTAATTTTAGACATTTTATGTCAAAGAAAATTGCATCTACTTCATGAAAATTATTATTTTTCTTCATCCAGAATATTGAGATCAGAATATCTTCAGATTCTTCCAAAAATCAGCAAATTTAACATCAATCACTTCTTCAATCCTTCATTCCAATCATTCCTTCATAAACATTTCATAAATAAACAATAAACAAAAAACAAATGACATCTATGAAATTGACAGTTGACACAGGTTTTGACATATTGCATCATCAACATGAAGTTGATTGTCAAAATTCCCAACGAGAGACACGAATGACACGATTGACACGAAGGACACAGTACATGGATAATATACTGTGCGAAGGGCCATGGAAAGCAAGGTAAAAAGGCCATGAAGGCCCAAGGCACTAGAAGCACGAGAAAGTATAATATACTGTGGTAAAAGATTGACAGTGTTCTTCATTGCAGAGAAATTTTTTGTTTATCTGCCTGTCTCGTCTTCATTGAGATAGTTGATAAATTGATGAATTACAAAAATATATCGCGTTCCAGTTATGAATGTTGAAGATGCCTACTTTTAAAACCACTTTACGGAAAGGAAGCGGATATGTAGCAATCTAGTTACGGAGGTTGAAAATATTATTCAGGTATGTCTCAGATTCAACATCTATGTATTACCTCTAATGATATTTTCTGATTCAAATATACTTCGATTTAAATGTGATGTTTAGTTGCAGATCCAAGGAGCAGTGTTTGATACTCAATCGGAGAAAACCATTCAGTAAATACGGACCGAACAGAAGATCCGCAAAGAGAACTGACTAGAGTATACTTCACAGAATTCAGATCATTATATTCGTACGGAAAGCGATATATTGATATCCTTTCCAGATTCTCAAGAAAACAGATAAAGACAGATATTCACCTTTATGTCTCTATGGAAACACGACAGGTACCCTTACGAGGGGAGAGTATCGACTCGGCGTATATAAACCCTCTCTGCAAAGGAGGTAGGCGCATGGTGGGTTAGGTATATACAGTGTTCGTCATTGCAGGGAAAATTGTTGTTTATCTGCCTGTCTCGTCTTCATCGGGATAGTTGATTAATTGATGAATTACAAAAATATATCGCGTTCCAGATACGAATATTGAGAACAATATCCAATATTCTTTGTAGGTCTCACGATTCAATTGATCCTTACTTTTAGATCCGAGCAGCACATCGTTTGGCATTCAAGGCCCTCAATATAACCCATGTACGTAATTGAAAATGTGGAATATGCCTACTGGAAGAAACACTATTCGGAAGGAAAAGTGGATATGTAGCAACCCAGTTACGGACGTTGAATATATTATTCAGGTATGTCTCAGATTCAACATCTATGTAATTCATCTAATGATATTTATTTTCTGATATGAATGTACTCCGATTGATGTGTGATGTTCTGTTGCAGATCAGAGAAGCAGTATTTGATACTTGCCACTCAATCGGAGAAAACCATCAGAGTCCATACGAGAGTCCATACGAACCGAACAGAAGATTCACAAAGTGAACTGACCAGATATGGTGACTAGTTATGTTATATACTTGGTATAATGATTTGATAGTCTGACATTGATGTGAAATTTTTATAATATAATTACAACTCAGTCTTATAATTTGCATCAATTGTATCCACAATTTGATGACCCCGACGTGATATTATGGAGCAGGTGAGCGAAGGCGAGATCATACAAATTTTAAGACATTTCAAGATCCATGTTAGGGAGTCGATGGAATTTTCGGATATGAAGAAAATGCTGACAGAGTACATTAAAAAAAGTTATAAGGACCAATTCTAGGAAGCCGACTACATCAGGAGCATTCTCTCAGAGATTTCATCAAGAATCATACCAAATTATGTTATTTTTACGAAGAAGATCGATAGACTTGAAGAATTGTGCGAAATTCTGATCGTCAAATTTGATGAAAATAATAAAAAATATGATTCGTTGGAAGCAAAACTCGATATTTTGGAAAAACATCGTGGAAGTTCAACATTTCCAAACAATATCATGTCTCATGACATCATCTCCTCAGAAGACACATCAACTGGACATTCCAAGATGAAAGAGCAAGAATTGAATAAGGATGGAACTATATGACTGTTTCACAAACAATTATTTAGAGTTAGAGGAGACGAGGATCTGTCCGTATCCTATTGGCAAGGTGACGATTCCGATACGGCACCTGGTGGGCAAATTTGAACCAGTTTAGGACGTAATTCAAGGTCATGTTTGTTATTGTGTTCAGTACTTTCAGTAGGTTTCATGTGGGATTCGCCTTTTGACCATGGTAGGAGACACATGGCGTCTCCAGGTCAAAAGTCAGGTTAATGTGTGTGCAAGTCTATAATTTTTCTAATTACCTGATCTGGATTAAAATCCAATATTTATTGTGAAGTTTAATAAGTGTGTGTGAAAACTATCAAGCCCTTTTATCTCTACGCCGGTATAGAGGCCGGATGGTGACGGATTCACCGGATAAAGGGGCCATACTTGAAATCAAACGTGCTCAGCATGAGCACATACGATTGAATCTTTGGACATTGATGAACTCGGCTTCCGGGCATGGTGACGGACTACGGTGTCTTTAGTGCTCGAGTCGAGAGATAATATTATTACATAACCATATTTATATTCTTGAAAAAAATAATTACCTGATCTGGAGAAATTGTTACCGAAAGGTGACAGAAATCCAATACACCCAAAAGAAGAAGAAGAAGAAGAAGTAGGTTTCATGTTTCATATTTTATGAATACCATTCAACAAATTACGTTAATTTTCTCTTCTTCCTTCTCTTGAGTACAAGACATGAACTTTATATCAATTGCCAAATCAATTCTATATAATTTTATAAATGAGTATCAACAAATCTCTGATAATACGAGAATTCAACTGTGTTTGGTTGCTGTTTGAACTAGTAGAAGGTTCCAATGGAAAAATGTAGGACCTATAATGTCCTCTAATATGAATTTCCTGCACTCAAGAAGTCTTTTCTGATGAAAAATCAGTTCAATTGAATGGAAAAAATGGATTAACGTTGAGAATCCAATATGAGTTTGAAAACTGGATGTATGCAGCTCCAACAAAAACTTCCTACCTTTCTTCACTTCATTGGTCCAATGATGATAACAATAAGGTAAATTTGTGATTCATTGATATATTCATTACTGATGAATAACTCTCATTTGCAGTGCCTATCTGAGAGAGAACATGATTGAAATAATCAACAGTTCATATCTATTTCGTTTATGGGGAAATGTCTCCAGAAACTAGGACTTGCAAAAATAAGTATGGTTGTTTTTATTTCAAATATTTTTATAAGAAAAATGAAGCAAATTCAATGCCTTTGACTTTTGAACTGCAATACACAAAGCTGGGTAAGAAAAAAGACATTATGAACATGTGCAGGTGGGTAATTTATAGTTTTATTTGTAATGCTTGACTCATATAAAAATCTTGTTTATGACATCCTGCCTAGGCCTGCCTGCCATAGATTCCTATTTTTTTAGTATCATCTTTGTAGTAAAATCGCCAATGCAGATTGCATGTACTTCCAAAATGATTAAGTTAAAATACAGCTCCAATTACATTCATATGAGCAAAAACATTAGCATATTTTATAACTATATAATAACCCTGCTACAAGCAGATCATTGTAGGTAGCTTACTTCATAGCTTGAATTGAATCTTTGAACATACATTGAAGTGACACAATCTATTTCTATTTGAATATTCAGATTGTGTAATAGCTAATAGATATGGTTTGTTCTTAGTAGGTACTGAAATGCTTATAACTAGTAGGTACTAATATTTCTTAAATTTTTCAGCAGGGGAGGAGTTGCCATCCAGAGTATCTTGCAATTGAGTGCAATTAGTTACACAAATTGAAACTAAAACCAAGATTCCTTGAAGTTGAAATCAAGTTTTTAGGGATATATCACTGATTATTTGGGTACTTGAACATATCCATGACATTTCATATTGTATCTTGGATAAATGTATTCATAATTTTACTGCTTGTATGTTATTATTAAACTGTATTTATTCATAAGTAAATGTTCTACTTTTTTTTATGTTTTGTAATGTTTTATTGTAGGTTTTCAAAATTCATATTTCAATTCCACAACTACCTCAATCAACACCTCATTCTTTTTTGATGCAATTTCAGTCACTTTATAATCTTTACTGATTCCTTTCAAAATAGGTACCTACCAGAAAGATACTTACTTTTGCTCATTGTTAATTTATTTCTACATATATGAAAGTCCTGGATTTCAAATTCATTTATAATTGTAAATTTTTATGAAGGTATCTTGTAAACAGTATACATGAGCACTGAGGGAAGGAGTATACTGGAGTATCCTTCTATTTGTAGGTACTTCTTTCTGGACTTCTTTGGAGTGGCATAAGTACAGTAAAACACATGTTATGTCAATATACTTTCATTTTCGAAAATTATTATTAATTCAGTTCCAAAATATACCAAACATAATGAACTATGCAGATTGATGAGATAGATATTTTCAATTAGATGAATTTAGGATCACAAAATGATGTCAAATCACAAAATTTATGATAATATTCTGTGTAAATACATTAACTGAAATCCTAGGTCATTTGATCAATGTTTTCCTCAAAGCCTGGAAGTAATATTGTTGTATCTACTATTAAATCCACAGTAATGTCAGGATGCCTTTGGTGTTGAATTATTTCTTGGTTTAGACTCATTAGAGCTGGTTGCTGCTGATTTCTATTGTATGGATCAATTGCAAATGATTCTGATGGCTATAATATTTAACAAAAAATAGTCGAATAGGTTAACACATTGTTCAGGGATGGTTTTCAATATGTTCACAAAATGCTGTTCACTGTTGAAAAACTTCACTCCTGGTATCACCATTTGTGGTCTGTAGGATCCTTTTGCTTGAAGAGTGGAGTTATAAAAGTATGATGGTGAATATATCAGCTTCTGATGATAGTGTATATGCTTGTAATTTTTGATATCCCATAAAGCTGTCCCACAGAAATGCACTGGTTCGAAGAAATTTGGTCCACGATTCAGTCAGTAGGTAACAGTAATTTTCCTCACATAACGATGATACAGTAAGATCCAACAAATATAATT